GCTAAGAGTCTCATGGACTTTCCTGTCTGGGCTTGATTTGAACATTGATCCTCTATCAGCCTCCTGAGTAGCTAGGATGACAGGTGTGAGCCACTGGTGTCCATTTGGACAAATGATTTGATAGATTTTTTTTTTCTTATGTCTGGCCGAAACTCTTTGTCTCTTCATCTTCCATCTAATGATCTTGGCTTTGTCCAGTCTTTGAAGACTCTCCAAAACAAGTCCAACCTGCAAGCCCAACCTTTAATGACAGCTTTGTAGCTGTAGCTTGTCAGTCACATTGAACCTGCTCTACCACTTGGACCATGCCTCCAGCTTGGCTTTTTGCTGGTTATTTTGGAGATAGAGTCTCATGGATTTTTCAGTCTAAGCTGGCCTGATCTTCCAGCTCTCATCCAGAATAGCTGGGATTACAAGTATGAGCCACCAGTGTCTGACAGCACTGTTTTTTCATTTTTCCTGCAGTTGCTAAGTCATATCTCCCACCATCTCATAGTTATTTACTTGACCTTAGGTCTGTAGATTTCTGTTTGTGTGTGTGTGTGTGTGTGTGTGTGTGTGTGTGTGTGTGTATGTATGTGTGTGCCAATTCTGGGGCTTGAACTCTGGACCTGGGTACTGTCCCTGAGCTCAAGGCTCTTTTGCTCAAGGCTAGTGCTTGTACTGAGCCACAGCAACACTTCCAGTTTTCTTATGGTTCATTGGAGATAAGAGACTCAGGAACTTTCCTGATTGGGCTGGCTTTGAACTGTGATCCTCAGATCTCAGTCCCCTGAGTAGCTAGGATTACTAGGCCTGCCTCTGCTGCCCTTTGAGTGGTTCTCATAGTAATGTTCTACAGGTCATTGTAGTTTTTATTTATGTATAACATAAAGAAGTCTCTGCATTGTAGAATAAATAAATATACTGTGAATCACCAGAGTTGTGTCTTGGCTATTTGAAAGGCACTGGAAAACTGAGCCCTTAGCTGAATTTATTTATTTTTGGGGGGGGGGTCTGGTCGTGGGGCCTGAACTCTGGGCCTGGGCGCTGTCCCTCAGCTCTTCAGCTCAAGGCTAGCGCTACTACTTGAGGCACAGCGCCACTTCCAGCTTTTTTCTTTTTGCTTATGTGGTGTTGAGGAATCGAACCCAGGGCCTCGAGCATGCAAGGCAAGCACTCTACCACTGAGCCACCTTCCCAGCCCCCTTAGCTAAATTTTGTCCCTTTGCTTTCCTACTGAAAGGTTCTTGTGCTTATGCTTTATTTATTTAGTGCCAGTCTTGGGCCACTTGAACTCAGGGCCTGGCCTTTTTTGCTCAAGGTTGGTGCTCTACCACTTGGGCCACAACTCTACTTCTGGCTTTCTGGTAGTTAGTTGAAGATCAGAGTATCACATACTTTTCTGCCCTGGCTGGCTTGGAACCATGTTTTTCAGATCTCAGTCTTCAGAGTAGTAAGAGTTACAGGCGTGAGCCACCGGCTTTATTTTTTCTCTATTTATTATTTATCTCTTTATAATCCCTAAGCTGTACAAAGAGGGATTCAGTGCAGTTTGTCAGTTTGTGGCTACCATGTGTTTTGATCAGTGTCACCCTTTCCATCATCCTAATGCTTTTGATGTATTGCAAGAGACTCAAAAGCAAAGCTGGGTGCTGGTGGCTCACACCTGTAATCCTAGCTACTCAGGAGGCTGAGATCTGAGGATCATGATTCAAAGCCTCCCTGGGCAGAAGAGTCCATGAAACTCTATCTCCAATAAACTACCAGAAAACTGGAAGCTATGTCTCAAAGTGGTAGAGCACTATCCGTGAGCAAAAGAAGCTTGGGGACAACCCCTAGCCCCTGGATTCAAGCCCCATGATGGATGCTCTCCCCCACCTCAAAAAAAGAGAGAAACTCTCTTTTATGTTTGCATAAACGATTCTGATCCCTGACTTTTGAAACTATTTTAGTCCACACTACCTGTCCCTCCATCACTCCCAACAGATTTGGAGTCTAAGATCTAGACAAAGCACGTGATCCAAAGTCCCCAGGTTGATTGGTGATAGAAGCAGGTCTCGAACCCAGACCTTCTGACTCACATAAACCAATTTTCCAGCTTTTATCTGCATAGTGGGAACTTTCCCACTTTGCTTGATCTTGTATGTATTTTCCCTGGAGCTATGTGACAACTTTGAATTCCTCTAGGTTGGGGGAAAAAAATGAAACACACACACACACACACACACACTACCACTAAGCCACATTCCCAGCCCTTCCGTGGTTATTTATTTTTTTTAACCACGTATCAATCAATGCTGGTGTCCTGCCCTTGGCCCTTCGGAGCTGCGATCAGTCTTTGCTCAAACAAATTGGCTCACTTGTGACATCTTGGCACAATGGGGAATGGGCTAAGACGGGTCTCCCCAGGTTCCTGAGAGAGTACCTCACACCCAGGCTGATGGCCAGCCACGTGCGGGCAGGGCTGGAGCCAGTCTGCCCTGGACCAGAGGCAGCTCCACATGGCCCATCGGGCTGGCTGTAAACTGAGAGGCGGGGGCACCTGTGAAGGCTCTTTTTACCATCAGGTTCCAAGATTCTAGAGGGTTCTCATTTCTCATGACTCCAGAGGGCACCCCCCTCCCCATTAGAGAATCCCCCATCTTCTCTTTGCCAGAGGAGCAGTATGGGGGCGCCCATCACCTCCCATCATCGGGCAGCTGCAAGTTTTTCTACTCATCCTCTTTAAACAGGAACTGATCCATAAACGTCCAAAGGAACAAGTGCAAGCTGGGGGGAGCAGAAAAGGTGTGACACCCGTCCTGTGCACTGTGTGAAGGTCACTGTTGACAGGACAGGTTAATGAGCAAAACCCAACATGGGGACTCAGAATGGCGGCTCTCCAGGTTCTTTGTGGCTTCTCTGTGTTGCATTTCCTTCCTTCCTCGGACAGTTGTGGGCCCTCTGGACAAAGGGAGAAGGGGTGAACCCCCCCTCCCCCTGGGGTGCCTGGCTGCTTTGGGAGCAGGGTTCACATGGGGTGTGTGATCTGTGATTTGTTTCAGGGGAGATGGTGGCTAGGAGACCAGAGGGCGGGAAAGGTCACACAGAACACTACTTCGAAGGAATCTAGTCTTTTTGGTTCCAAGTGCTCAGCACCCTCTTTTACAGTGTGTGTGTGTGTGTGTGTGTGTGTGTGTGTGTGTGTGTGTGTGTGTGTGTGTGTGTGTGTGTGTGTGTGGTCGGTCATGGGGCTTGAACTCTGGGCCTGGACACTGTCCCTGAGCTCTTCAGCTCAAGGCGAGCGCTCTACCACTTGAGCCACAGCGCCACTTCTGGTTTTCTGGTGGTTTATTGGAGATAAGACTCTCACAGACTTTCTTACCTAGGCTGGCTTTGAACCACGATCCTCAGATCTCAGCCTCCTGAGTAGCTAGGATTACAGCTGTGAGCCACTGATGCTTGGCATGGAGGTGTCATTTTTAAGCTCCAAATAAAGCCCCATGGAGGGCAGATGCTGAGATGGGGCTGGGGGTGGGAAGGGGGGAGTTAGGGTCTGAGACTCAGTTGTGTTCCGCCTCTTGTCTTGGCTGCTGTGTTTGTATACAGATGTTGCTGGCAAGAAAAGAGGGCTGGAGGCCTAGTCCAGGCCTCCATTGGCCTGCAGTTTGTACAAGATGGCCCTGGGGCTGTGGCTGTTGGTGGGTGGTGACCCAATACAATGTGAGCAGAATTGGATGATCTAGAGGATTTCTTTTATTTTAATTTTTAATTGTTATTATAAAGGTGAAGGGCTGGGAAGGTGGCTCAGTTGCAGAGTGCTTGCCTTGCATGAGGCCCTGGGTTCGATTCCTCAGCACCACAGGAAAGACTGCAAGTGGTGCTGTGACTCAAGTGGTAGAGCGCTAGCCTTGAGCTGAAGAGCTGAGGGACAGCGTCCAGGCCCAGAGTTCAAGCCCCACAACCGACAAAATAAATAAATGTGCTATACAGAGGGGCTATGGTTATGATGTACATTTCTTTTTGGACAATATCACCCTTCCCTCGCTGCCTCCCAATTTTTTCCCTCCATCCCCTCCCACAAGTTGTACAGTTCATCGTCAACATAGTGTCTAGTGAATACCACTGCTACGTTTGTTCACTGTTTGATCCTCCATTTCTGGGCCTCCCCTTAACCCTCCCAAAGACAGATAAATGAACAAGACAAAAAGAAAACAAAACACAGCAACAGAGAATAAAACACCCTTTTGTTTCCATTTCCTGGAGTTCATTTCAACACATATTATTTTATATGATCACCTTCGTGTTCCTCTCCTAAGAATATCTGGAGGGGATTTTTGTTTGTTTGTTTTTTGCCAGTCCTGGGGCTTGAACTCAGGGCCTGGCCACTGTCCCTGAGCTGCTTTTGCTCAAGGCTAGCACTCTACCATTTGAGCCACAGCTCCACTTCTGGATTTTTCTGTGTATGTGGTACTGAGGAATCGAACCCAGGGCTTCATGCATGCTAGACAAGCACTCTACCACTATGCTACCTTCCCAGCCCATCTGGAGGGAATTTCTTGTGAGCATAGGTTCTCTAATGAAGGCAGAGGACAGAAATGGATCCTCCCGAGACATATCCGTATTCTCCATCCTGGAAGGCTGTCTCTGGGGAAAGGTAGCTGTGGATTGAGGCTCGAGGCTCGCAGGCACCAGCGGAAATCTGGAGGACTTCCTGGAGGCAGCGTTCCCCACCCTGCCCTGCCGCTGCCTCATCTCTGCTTTGCTCGGGTGCACTGTGACAAATTTAGCCATTTATGAGTGGTGCCATGGGGACCAGGGAGGTGGAGGGGTAGAGTCTGAGCATGCCCAGTCTGCCCTGTGTACTTTGCACTTCTTGCATATTTCTCCCTCCATAACTGGGGCCCTCATACTCAGTCGTGTAGGGCAGTCACTGTGGGTGGCTGTGACAATGACTGCTTCGGTCTCCGAGCCCACCCCAGGCATGAAGCTAAAGGCCCCAGCGAGCAGAGATCCTCATTCTGACCCTCTTCCTCCAGCTACCATGTCCACGCAGAGACTTCGCAATGAAGATTACCATGACTACAGCTCCACCGACGTGAGTCCGGAGGAGAGCCCCTCGGAAGGGCTGAGCCACTTCTCCTCTGGCTCCTACCAGCGTTTCGGGGAGAGAAACAGCACTACGTGAGTCGTTCTTGCTCTCTGCCCTTCTGGCAGTGGTGGGGGTGAGCTTCGAACCTGCTGTTTGCTTCTCTCCTCTCCTTCCTTCCACCCTCCCTCCCCCCTCCCTCCCTCCCTCCTTCCTTCCTTTCTTCTTTCCTTCCTTGTTTCTTTCTTTGTCGAGGGGCTTGAACTCTGGGCCTGGACGCTGTCCCTCAGCTCTTCAGCTCAAGACAAGCGCTCTACCACTTGAGCCACAGCGCCACTTCTGGTTTTCTGGTGGTTTATTGGAGATAAGCGTCTCACAGACTTTCCTGCCCGGTCTGGCTTTGAATTGTGATCCTCAGATCTCAGCCTCCTGAGTAGCTAGGATGACAGGCGTGAGCCACCAGCACCTGGCTGTCTGGTCCTTTCTTATTCTCAGCTTGCTCAGGGCCAGCAGGCCAGGGGGTGGGCTGGAGAGAGTGTACAGCTGAGAAAAGCTTCTAGAAGGCCATTGTGTGAGTGTGTGTGTGTGGGGGGGCTTCCCTCGCTCCCATCTCTCTCAGCCCCCACTGGAAGCCCCCTAAAGGCAGAGAGTCACCCCCAGACTTCTGTCCCCAGCAGCTGGTCATGGAGGAAGCTGCGCTTTTGCCTTCCCCCACCAGGGAAACTGAGACCCCAGCCACAGCAGGGCCCAGGCTAGCCCTCTCCCTTAGGTGGCAGACAAATTGAGGGTGTGCTGGGGAGCAGGGGCCGGCTGTGTGGGGGGGTGCAGCTGCCCTGATCGCAGCCTGTGACATTTCCCAGCACCCCAGTGCCCCATCCTGGACAAGATTCAGTGAGCACGCCTTTGGTTCCCTAATCTTACCAATCCTCTGGGACTCTGAGGGGACTATGGAGCCCTATCCCAGAGCCCCTTGCTGCGGTAGCTTTCTCGATGTTACTCTCCCAGCCAGGACTTATATGTCCTGTGACCTGGGGTGACCCTAGGGGACGTGGTTTGTCTACAGGACTCGCCCCGAGCCACCTCTAGCTAGTTTCTGCTGGCACAGACTTGCCTGAGAAGCGTGTTGCTCTGGTGGAAATCCCCCATCCTGTCTGCTGCAATCTGAGCAGGAGGCAGCAGTGGGGACCCCCCCCCATCTTTTCCCTTTAACCTTATCCCCTCTTGCCCCCTCCCCGCCCCCCACGCCTATGGCCACCCTGGCAGAAGGCACTCTACTTCCTGCTGGAGACTCTCAATGGCTCTGCCAGAAGAAAAGTCATCTCCTTAGGGGAAAATCCTTTCTTTCTTTCCCTTAAAAAAAAATTAGTGCCTGTTTTGGGGCTTGGATGCTGTCCCTGACCTCTTTTGCTCAAGGCTAGTGCCCTACTACTTTGAGCCATAGCCCCACTTACGGTTTTCTGGTGGTTTATTAGAGATAAGAGTCTCTCAGACTTTCCTGCCCAGACTGGCTTTGAACCACGAACCTCAGATCTCAGCCTCTTGAGTAGCTAGGATTACAGGCATGAACCACTGGCGCTTTAAACCTCAGTACCTGGCATTTTCTGGGAATATGAAGGAAACGAACCAATCAGCACTCAAGACAAGCATCAGTGTTTGTGACCCCCATAAAAATGTTGAGCTTTCAAGCAAAATTAGACAAAAGAAAAGCCAAATCCAGTGTGTCTAGTATTGTGAGCTTGGTAGTTTTCCTTTGCATATAAACTGCTGACGAGCTTTGTGCTGATGTTAATGTCTGTGATTTCTCTGTGTTATAGAATGAAAGGTATTTGTGTTTAGAAGAGCTGAATAACTCGCAGGACTAATAAAAATGTCCAAATAACCAAAGGATGTTAGGAAGTTACATTCAGAGAACATGCTCACCAATGTTTTGTTGGTGGTATGGGTGGTGTGTGTGTGTGTGTGTGTATGTGTGTGTGTGTGTGCACATGTGCATGTGTATATGTGTCTATGTGTGTATTTGTTCCAGACCTTGAACTCAGGGCCTTGTGATCTTTTTTTTCCACTTGTAGATGGCACTCTACCACTCCAGCCATGCCTCCATTTCTGGCTTTTTTTGCTGGCTAATTGGAGGGAGGAATCTCCAAGGTTTGTCTGAGCTGGCTTTGAACCAAGATCCATAATGTTCAGCCCCCTGAGGAGCTAGGATTCCAGGCATGAGCCACTGGTGCCTGGCCAGAACCAATAGTTTTTAATGAACTAGAATATGAAGTTTCAATTCCATAATTGTAAATGACTTTGAAGAAATGATCATGTGCTTCATTTTGGAATAGTGTCAAAGAAAAATGACCAACTGCATGTCTAAAGCCATCAGATTGTCTTCATACCCATCCACACAACAGTGTTTCACAGAGACTGAACGCAGACTCAGACACACACCGTCTTCTGTTATACAAAACATTCAAGAAAATGCTTTGTTCAAAAAGTAAGACAGTGCCATTCTTCTCCATTTCCTTCTCTGGAAAAATGGGTTTGATTTCTCAAAACAAAATATACACACACACACACAGACACACACACACACACACACACACACACACACACGTTATCAGGTGCCAGTGGCTCACATCTGTAATTCTAGCTACTTAGAGACTGAGATCCTGAGGATCACGGTTTAAAGCCAAACAGGCAGGAAAGTCTGTGAGATTTGTATCTCCAGTTAACTATCAAAAAAAGCTGGAAATGGAGCTGTTGTTCAAAGTGGTGGAGTGCTAACCTTGAGCACAAAAGCTCAGGGACAGTGCTAAGGCCTGAGTTCAAGCTCCAGGACTGGCAACAAAACATTTAAAAAATTAAAAAGAAGAAGTACAAGTTGTCATGTCCAACGAGCTTTACAACGTCGGTGGGGGGGGGAAGGGGGGGAAGGAGAAGGATTGGGATTGGGGGGGAGGGGGGAGGCTGGGAAGGGATGTGAAGGGTAAACAAAAGGAGGAGGCTGCAATGCTTGGTAAGAAATGTACGCATTATCCTGCCCATGTAATTGTAACCCCTCTGTACAGTATCTTCACAAATAAAATTAAAAAAAATTAAAAAGATTATATACGTTAAAAGTTACATGTACATATGTATGTATATGTACATATGTATACATACATATGTATATATATAAAGTATATATAATTTTTAACTATATCTGTATAGTATATATAATTTTAAAAATTATATATATTATACATAGATCAGATATATATCTGCAGATAGAATCTGCATAAGCAATTGATTGGGGAGGGGTCCTGGTGGTCCTGGGACCAAAATGTACATGAACTGCCCTCGGAGCAGATGGAACTTGCGAGATTGGCTGGGCTCTCCTCTTCCCCTGGGAAAGGTCACCTCCTCTTTGGCTGTGGCCCCTGGCCCCCAGTGGATCTGTGTTTGTTGATCTCACCTTGGGGCTATCTATTGGAAAGAATCGTGGTGACCCCTGGACAGGAAGCCTGGCCAATTCTGAGCTGAACAGACCAGAGAGCCTACCACCTTGTTCCCCATTAGTTCCCTCACTTCCCGGGTGAGCAGCAGCCCTGAGAAGGAGGGGGTGGAGATCGCCATGTGGGGGGGGGGGATGGAGAGCTGGGAGGGACCCTAGGGACCCACAGAAGCCAGCTGAGAACTGTTTTGAAGAAGCCTTGGTCAGACAGAAGAGTCTGGAACACCACTTACCTTTGCACTTAAGTGGATTAAACATTTGCCAAGATAAACATTTAATAGGCCCATTATATCTTGGCTACGGTCTACTGATAATGTAGACCCTCTGCTGAGCATGAGATCGGGAGGCGGGTCCTTGATCCTTCCTGGAAATACTGAGGCCAGCTGGGAGATGGGATTTTCTGTCTGATGGCAGAGGGAGAGAGGTCAGCGTGAAATGTCTTTACACAGGGTGCAGATGGCCCTTACTAATGGCCTTAATGGGTAATGAGGGAGATGTATTGCCAGGCACTGGTAGCTCATGCCTGTAATCCTAGCTACTTAGGTGTCTGGGCAAGGGAAAGTAAGACTCTTGTCTCCAACAAACCACCAAAAAGGCTGAAAGTGGAGCTGTGGCTCAAGTGGTAGAGTGTTCTCCTTGAGCAAAAAAAAAGAGCTCAGGGATAGCATATAGGCCTTGAGTCAAGCCCAGGACCAGCACCAAATAATAAATAATTTAAAATGAAGGGGCTGGCTCAGTGGTAGAGCGCTTGCCTTGCATGCATGAGGCCCTGGGTTCCATTCCTCAGCACCACATAAGCAGAAAAAGCTGGAAGTGGTGCTATGGCTCAAGTGGTTGAGCTGAAGAGCAGAGGGTAAGCACCCAGCCCCACAATCGACAAAAAAATAATAAAAAAATAAAAATGAAATCTGCTTTGGGTTTCTACTGAATGGCAGATTTGAAAAAAAAGAAAAAGTGCAACCCTTACTTTTAAAGGAGTTAGATTCTCTGCAGAATTTCTAGACAGTACCAGAGGCCTCAGTGACTTAGGGTCAAGTGGTATTGAATTTGAACAGTTTCCTATTCTAATTTTTTTTTTTTTTGGTTGGTTGTGGGGCTTGAACTCTGGGCCTGGGCTCTGCCCCTCAGCTCTTCAGCTCAAGGCTAGCGCTCTACCACTTGAGCCACAGCACCACTTCTGGCTTTTTCTGCCTATGTGGTACTGAGGAATCGAACCCAGGACCTCATGCATGCAAGGCAAGCACTCTACCACTGAGCCACCTTCCCAGCCCAGCTTCCTATTCTTTAAGCAGTCACAAGAGATGCAAAGTAGGAAGACAAGCCCATTCCTGATGTCTGTCCCAACTCCCCCTTCCCCACGGAGAGACACCATGCTGTCTCTGCCGTCTCTATACTCAGGCGACCACTAAGGCCAAAGGGGCCCTGTGTGCACCCTGGTTCTTCATGAGGATCTAATTATCAGCCACTGCCTTCTGACCATGGCCTCTTTCTCCCCAGAAGGGTGCATGTGTCCTTCTTGTCCTGCTAACTTCAGCTCGGGGGTGTCCACCACCTTCACTTCTCCCTGGCTTTTTCTTAATAATCACCTTCTTAATAATCACCTTAGCATTATTCCTGGTGTTTCCTGAGACAGGACTGAGTTCTAGAGCTGAGCCTTAATCTGAAGGATTTTCAAGACAGTTGCAGCAGGTTTATTCTATGTGGGCACACGTGCCATCCTAGGACTTGAACTCAGGGCTTAGATGCTGGGTTCCAGGTTCTAGCCCTGAGTGTTCTTCCCATGTGCTTGCCGCCTCCCCCCCTTCCCCCCCCCCCCCCCCCCCCCCCCCCCCGCCAGTAGTGTGGCTTAAACTCAGGGCCTGGGTGCTGTTCTTGAGCTTTTGTGCTCAAGGTTAGCGCTCTACCACTTGCCACAGCTCCACTTCCTGCTTTTTGGTAGTTAATTAGAGTTAAAGAGGCTTATGGCCTTTCTGCCCAGTCTGGCTTCAAACCCCAATTTTCAGATCTTAGCCAGTCCTGAGTAACTAGGATTATAGGTGTAACTAGGATTATAGGTATGAGCCACTGTACCCGACTAACTTTTTTTTTTTTTAATTTTTTTGGTTGTGGGGTTTGAACTCAGGGACTGGGCACTGTCCCTGAGCACTTTTGCTCAAGGCGAGGGCTCTGCCACTTTGAGCCACAGCGCCATTTCTGGTTTCCTGGTGGTGCATTGGATGTAAGTGTCTCACAGACTTTTCCTGCCCAGGCTGACTTTAAGCTGAGATCCTCAGATCTCAGCCTCCTGAGTAGCCAGGATTACAGATGTGTGTCAAGTGGTAGAGCACTAGCCTTAAACAAAAAGAAGCTCAGGGGCAGTGCCCAGGCCTTGAGGTTAAATCCTAGGACCATCATACAATAAACAAAAACAAACACCGTGACAAGAGAATTTGGGCTATTGGTTATTTTCCCATTTTTTCCCCACACAGGAAGAACCCCTTCACAATCATTTTTGTCCCCCTCTGTTGCTGTCTGGGGGAGCCTTTGCCATGCTCAGGGCAGTGGTTAGAAGCAGGTGTTCATAGAGGAAGAGAGGAGAGCGTAGAAGCACCTGTCAGCCTCTGGTCTCGGGCCTGAGACAGCAGGTTTGCATGGAGGAACACAGACTGAATGCCCTGGGTCCAGCTGACCATCCCTGCTCACCCCTCCCTATTCAGATCGCTGCAGACGTTGATCCACCTGTTAAAAGGCAACATCGGCACGGGGCTCCTGGGCCTGCCGTTGGCAGTGAAGAATGCCGGCATCTTGGTAAGCATCCATGCTGCTGGAGGGAAGTGTGAAGACAAGGTAGTTTGTAACTTTGTTTTGTTTTGTGCTTGTACTGGGGTTCCAAATCAGGGCCCAGGCTCTGTCCCTTAGCTTTCTGGCTTAAGGCCAGTGCTCTACCACTAGAGCCACACCTCTACTTCCAGCTTTTTGCTGGTTATTTGGCAATAAAGAGTCTCCCATGGATTTTCCCCCCCCACCTGGGCTGACTTCAAAACCATGATCCTCCAATCTCAGCCTCCTGAGAAGCTAGGATTTCGGGCATGAGCCTTGGGTGGCTTTGTGTCCTTGTATTCATTCAGCCAAGAATTAATTGACAGCGCTTTACTGGGGCCTCTCTGTGTGCCAGGCCCAGTCTAGGCTCTTAGAAACTGCATCCGGGCATTCCGCACATCAGCAGAGAGCCCTGTCATCTTGGCGATACTCTGGGACAGAGAAGATGCTCTCCACGTGGCCCAGGCAGTTTCTGTCCATAATCTGAACTTAATGGGTCAGGGATAGGTTTGCTCGCTTTCTGCAGTCCCCAGCCCCACCTTCAGTGGCCAACCCTGAGAAACGTGTATCTTCTTTTTATCGTTCACTTTCTGCAGATCATTGGCCCAAAGCTATTGCAATTTCAGAGGTGGGGATTGTCTGTCCTCAGCTCCCCCAACCCCCTGATGGGGTCTTGTGCTCAGGATGCCTTCTCCTCCCCCACACCCCTCACCCTACAGCTGGGGAGCTTCTATTCTGCCCATGCATTACAGGCTAAGCACACACACTCCCCCTGTGCTGGTCTTGTCTGCCAGATGAACTCTGTGGCAGGTATGGCCCAGAGCTCCTCTTTCCCAGCTGATCCCCATGAGTGCATTTTCCTCTCGTGCTGGCCCCCCTCTAGACATGCCCGGGTAGCATGTTATTATTGACAGATCACATCTTCTGCAGATCCAGGCCCGATTGAACCCACTAATCTCTCTCTCTCTCCAGTTGGGTCCCCTCAGCCTGTTGGTGATCAGCATTGTGGCTGTGCATTGCATGAGCATCCTGGTGAAATGTGCCCACCATTTCTGCCGCAGGTGAGGGCCCCCAAGCCACCTATACTGCCCCCCCCGCCCCCACACAACGCGGCCTCCTTGCTTCCCAGGGGCTCTGCCCTCCCCCATTTGTTTAATGTCATGGGTTAAATTTACTGAAGTCTAATAGGTATAGCCCCATTCTTTGTGTGTGTGTATGTGTGTGTATGTGTGTGCGTGCATGCATGCATGTGCATGCACCAGTCCAGGGACTTGAACTTAAGGCCTGAGTATGGTCTCTGAGCTTTTGTGCTCAAGGCTAGCTCTCAACCACTTGAACCATAGCTCCACTTCCAGCATTTTTTTTTGGTAGTTAATTGGAGATAGGAATCTCACAGATTATTCCTGCTGGGGCTGGCTTTGAACCTTGATCCTCAGATCTCAGCCTCCTGAGTAGTTACGATGACAGGCAAGTGCCAGTGGCTGTTACTCTCATTGTCTAATCTACCTGCTCTGCCCTTCTGTTCACCACCCTCTGGCAGGCTGAACAAACCCTACATGGACTACGGGGACACCGTGATGTGTGGGCTGGAAGCCAACCCCAGTGCTTGGATCCGGAGCCACTCCCACTGGGGAAGGTAACGGACTCTGTGTCACGTGACTCCCACCATTCTCCTCATAGCAGGAAGGGGAAGAGGAAGGAGTGCGTGTATCTTGGGGAAGTATTCCTCAAGCCATTCGGCTTTCTAGGAAGCTTGCTCGTTCTGTACTGATGATCACGTCCATCCTCCCCATTGCAGGCACATTGTAGACTTCTTCCTGATCATCACTCAGCTGGGGTTCTGCTGCGTCTACTTTGTGTTTCTGGCTGACAACTTTAAACAGGTAGGCTCTGGTTAAAAGAGAGAGAGGGGAGGGATATGCCAAGCAAGGAATGGGTTCCTTCTAAGCCAGTTTTTGCCAGTCGAAGACGTCAGGTTTTACTCTTTATGTATACAATCTCATTTGGTCACCTGAAGATCTGGGGTATTAAAAAAAACCCTCAGGATGGCCAGGTGCTGGTGGCTCATGCCTGTAATCCCAGCTACTCATGAGGCTGAGATCTGAGGATCTCAGTTCAAAGCCAGCCCGGGCAGGAAAGTCCATGAGAGTCTTAGCTCCAATTAACCCCCCCCCTTTTCCCCCCCGCAAAAAAAAAGCCAGAAATGGATCTGTGGCTCAAAGTGATAGAGTGTTAACCTTGAGCAAAAAAACAAAGGAGTTCAGGGACAGAACCTAGGCCCTGAGTTTAAGCTCCAGGACTGGCACACACAAAAAAGCAATACAGAAACCTCAGGATGACTCCTCCATCTTTTTATCTTAGATAAGGTGTGACCAAGCCCAGCTCAGATAGTTGGGTTGCTCATGATAGCCAGGCAGATATGTCCCAGGAAGGACCCGCTGGCTGTAGGTGCCTCCCTGGCCTCCACACACACCCTAGCCTTCACCCAGGATCCTCTTCTAGTGGGCCTTCAGCTTGCTACTTTGTTCAGTGCTTTCCCCCTTTTCTTTTCCTGTCCTCATTCTAGGTGTTAGAAGCTGCCAATGGCACCACCAATAACTGCCACCACAACGAGACGGTGATCCTCACCCCCACCATGGACTCGCGGCTCTACATGCTCTCCTTCCTGCCCTTCCTGGTGCTGCTGGTTTTCATCCGAAACCTCCGGGCCCTCACCATCTTCTCCCTGCTGGCCAACGTCAGCATGCTGGTCAGCTTGGTGATGATCTACCAGTTCATCGTTCAGGTGTGGGCTCGGGCTCCCCATGCTCTCGCGAGATAACAGAGAAGTAAATAAAACGAGTGAAGTATAAATAGGGGCCCTTAGTATGGCAAATACAGATTAGAGGTTTTTCTGGTACTAGTCCTGGGCCTTGAACTCAGGGCCTGGATGCTCTTTTGTGCACAAGGCTAGCGCTCTACCACTTGAGCCACAGCCCCACTTTCAGCTTTTATGGTGTAGTTACTTGGAGATAAGAATCTGATGGACTTTCTTGTGGGAGCTGGCTTCGAACCATGATCCTCAGATCTTAGCTTCCTGAGTGGCTAGGATGACAGGTGTGAACCATCAGTTCCCAGCTGGAAATGTTTCTCTTTTTTTCTTTTTGTCAGTCATGGGGCTTGAACTCTGGGACTGGGTGCTGTCCCTGAGCTCTTCAGCTCAAGGTGAGCACTCTACCACTTGAGCCACAGTGCCACTTACAGTTTTCTGGTTGTTAATTGGAGATCAGAGTCTTGCAGACTTTTCTGCCCAGACTGGCTTTGAACCTCGATCCTCAGATCTCAGCCTCCTGAGTAGCTAGGATGACAGATGTGAGCCACCAGCACCTGGCTTGGAAATGTTTCTTTTTTCTTTTTTTTTTTTGGGGGGGGGGTCCGGTCGTGGGGCCTGAACTCTGGGCCTGGGCTCTGTCCCTCAGCTCTTCAGCTCAAGGCTAGCGCTCTACCACTTGTGCCACAGTGCCACTTCTGGCTTTTTTCTTTTTGCTTATGTGGTGCTGAGGAATCGAACCCAGGGCCTCATGCATGCAAGGCAAGCACTCTACCACTGAGCCACCTTCCTAGCCCTGGAAATGTTTCTTATAAACAAATCTATATGATTTCTTCATAGGACCTAGGAAACAAAAGTTGTTTTCTTTTTCTTTTTTCTTCTGAAGAGATTACTGTATCATTGTTTTGAAAGCTTCCAAAGAGAAGCCTGCTGCAAAGATTAGTAAAAGACCTTTGATTCACTCCAGATGATTCTATCACACTATTGGGCTGTGCTCCAGACGTATCTAAATACCTGTTTCATGACTTGGCTTAGATGAGCATCCTGCAAAGTACTTCATGCTAAATGTCTACTCACCTTCTTGTAGCAGTAGTGGGAAGGTGTTAGAACCTTCAGGAGATGTGGCCTAATGGGAGGAAGTGAGGTCATTGGAGGCGGGCCCTCCAAGAGGGGAGGTATTGGGATTCTGGCCCTGCTTCCTGTCTGCCATGAGGTGAGCAACTCGTGCCTTTTGTGGTGATGTTCTAGACGCAGTTCCCCAAAGCAACAGAGTTACCTCACCCTGGACAGAAAGCTCTGAAGCCATGAGCCATAGTAAACCCTTCTTCATCGTACCTTGCTAAGTAAACCCAACACAATCAGTAAACCACGCAATCAGTAAACCAATTTAGAAACATCTGTTAGGAGCACTAGTAAGGGGCTCCTCCACAGAGCAGACACAGACTTACTTTATTGCTTCTGGAGGCTGGGAAGTCTGGGAAGGCGTGGCACTTAGAGTCGCTTCCCAGCAGGGCAGAACAAAACACATTCCCTGCTTCATAACCACCCACTCTCAGAACAACCAATCTAGTCCTGTGCAAGTAAGGACTTGCTTAACCCCTTGACAAGGAACCCCAGTTCACGAGACAATGATGGGTCCCATGGCCTTGCACTCACAAGTCATGTGTTTCCCTGCTGACCTCCCTGGAAGCCCAGCCTCAAATCCCCCCTCTTCGACCCCTTAAAGGTACCACCTCCCAGAATGGCCACTTGGACAGATTTCAACATGAACTTTGCAGATGCTACGGCCATAGAAGCTTCTAAATCAGTTTTTACTTGAAGCGTTGCCTTGAAAGTCTAGTTCTTCAAGGACCACAGCTTTGGTGCCACCCACCCCTGTTCCTGTCCCTCTCTCAGTGATTGTCCCTCCCTGGGGCTCCCCAGGGGACTGGCTCTGGGCCTGACTCCTCCTCACCAATACAGCCTCGTCTTCTTTATCTGTGGCTCAGATCACGCATAATATTCTGTGAAATTGCCAGTGTGCGGCTCATTACTTAGTGGATTGCTTTCTTAAGGGCAGTTTAAAATGCTTTAGCTTGTTGATAGTTCTGCTCAGTTTTTTTGTTTTTCATCTTCCCCCCCCCCCCCCGAGTCCTGGGGCTTGAACTTAGCACCTAGATGCTATACCTGAGTCTTTTTTTTTTTTTTTTTTTTGCTCAAGGCCAGTGCTCTACCACTTGAGCCATAGCTCCACTTCCAACTTTTTGCTAGTTAATTGGAGATAAGAGTTTCATGGACTTTCCTTCCTGGGCTGGCTGTGAACCCCAATCCTCAGATCTTAGCCTCCTGAGAAGCTAGGATGATAGGTGTGAGCCACCAGCACCTGGCTTTATCTTTTGATTTCTTTTCTACTTGCATTAAATATCTATGGAATGGGGTGACCTAGTGAAAGAATCGAAAACTCTCAACGTTTGGCACATTGGGCTAGGCTTCCCTTGAGCAAATAAAAGTTTTCTCAGCCTGAAGAGAAAAAAAAAAATCAACCAAGTCCCCAGATCACCTGTCCCTTCAGGCTTTCTCCCTTTAGGAATCTGAGATTTCAGAAAAGGTGTGGCCACTTCGATTTGGGGGGGGGGGTTCTGATCCCGAATCTCTGCTTACCTTTGGCTTTCTTTCTGTTTCTCTTTCTCAGAGGATTCCAGACCCCAGCCACCTACCTTTGGTGGCATCATGGAAGACCTACCCTCTGTTCTTTGGCACAGCCATTTTCTCATTTGAAAGCATCGGAATGGTAAGTGACACTGTGACTTGGGTCCCCAGTGTCCCCTGGGACCCTCCCAGTCCCCACTGTCGGACTTAACATCCGGGACTTTTCTCCTCGTGAACAAGTGAACCGTGCTGCAGAATTCCATGCAAGCTGCCAGCGCCAACCTTTTTTTTGGCGGGGAGGGGGAGTGGTTTGGGTGTCTGGCTAAGCATGGAGAGAGGTACTATGGTTTGAAACTCAAGAACTCATACTGGCTTAGGCAGGTGCTCCACCACTGAGCCGTGCCTCCGTCCTTTTCTTTTCTTGTGCTGGTGTTTTTTGAGCTAAGGGTGACAGGTGCGTACCATCCCACCTAACTTCTTCCTGTCATCATGGAGTCTCGTGGACTTGGCTGCCCGGACTGGCTTGGAACCGTGATCCTCTTTATCTCAGGCCTCTCCATCCTGGCTTAGGATGATAGGCATGTACAGCTAGAAGTAGTGGGTCTTGTGAACTTCGCTGTCTGGATTGGTCTGGGACCATGGTCCTCCCAAACTAGCAGCGGCAGCTGATGAAGACCTCACGGTCTCCTCCCCTCCCCTCTATGCCCTTACCATTGTGAGGGATCTGTGCTCTTGCTCAGGTCAGTGAGTGGGACCCCAGGCAGCTACTGAGGCAGGAAATGGGCCAAGAGCGTTTGCCTGTTCCCACAGGTTGGCTGGGAGCTGTGGTCTCAGGTCAGACACTGGGGGGCGCTGTTGAGTGCCACACACCTGTGCAGGGTTGGGGGGGGGGCGGGGACAGATCTGCCCTGGGCCAGCAGCCTGGAGTCACCCTGCCTCCTCTTCCCCTCCATGTCTCGGGATTCTCACTTAAGCCAGTCAGCTCTGGAGTCCCTTCTAGACCTTTCCAGCTGCTGATGCATCCGTTTTTTGTTTTTGTTTTTCTTATCAGGAGAGGGAAATGTACTTTGGGGAGTCTGAGAATAATTTTGGTTTTGAATGGTTATATTTTGATTGGCTATTCACTTTTTTTCTTCATCTTCTGTGCTCTCCTTCCTCTCTTACTATGCGTAGGTTCTGCCCCTTGAAAACAAAATGAAGGACCCCCAGAAATTTCCAGTCCTCTTGTTCGTGGGAATGGCCATTGTCACCGTCCTCTACATCAGCTTGGGGTCCCTGGGGTACCTGCAATTCGGTGCCAACATCCAAGGCAGCCTTACCCTCAACCTGCCCAACTGCTGGTAAGTGGGGGAGGGGGTCAAGGTGTGGGGTGGTGGCAGAAGTTTGAGCTTCTCAGCCCTCACGCGCTGCGTGATTCCTGCTTTACGTTGATTTCATGCATCAAGCCATTACCTGTGAAGACATTTCCCCTAGAGAAATCCCGAGCCCCAAGAACCAAGAATCACGGATTCCATCTCCCCTCCCCCACCCACCATTTCCATTACACCATTGTGCCAGGTCCTAGGGCTTGAACTCAGGCCCTGGGCACTGTCCCTGAGCTTTTGTGCTCAAGACTAGCACATCTACCACTTTGAGCCACAGCTCCACTTCTGACTGTTCATTGCTGGTTCATTGGAGGTCAGACTTTCACAGACTTTCCTGCCCTGGGCTAGCTTTTGAACCATGATCTTTAGATCTCAGCCTCCTGAGTAGTTAGGATTACAGGCGTGAGCCACCGGTGCTTTCGAAGATGAAAACCTCATTGTGGAGAGGCGCCGTGTGCAGATACTGAGAACTTCATTAGTGTGGAAGGGATAAATGGAAATAATAACCTCTTGGCCAGCTTGGCTAGTTTGCCTGTGTGTGCCATTAGGGGCTGAGAGAGGATTGGATGAGGCAGATTGAGGCACCGAGGGTAGTTTTGGTGAATAGCACTGGTGTTGAGGCCAGCCTGCCCCAGGGTGATCTGCCTATGGCCTAAGAACTAGAGTTCAAGCACGAGCAAGTCAGTGCCCATTTTACACATAGTAAAAGACCACATTTGCATACATCCAATAGCAAATGACCACATTTGCATGCATCCAATGAAGGAGGCTGGCTGACTCGCTGTCTCATGTGTGAATCTGGTTCAGAGAATTCTGGGAAGGTTCCGGGGAGGAGGATAGTCAGTGATAGGAGCAACATTGAGTTGTGAGAACAAAGCAGATTCCCATCAGAAGCCAGCCAGGCAAGGAAAGCCCTTGAGATTCTTATCTCCAAATACCTAGCAAAAAGCCGGAAGTGGAGCTGTGGTTCAGGTGGTAGAGCACCAGCCTGGGGTAGAAAAAGCTCAGGGACAATGGCCAGGCCTAGAGTTCAAGCCCTACTACAGGCATAAGAAAAAAAAAATAAAAAAGAACAGCTGGTCCACTGTCCATTGGGTTCCAGACCCTGGTGGAGGAGGAGGGGTGTCAGAGCCCCACTGAGCCTTGGACCCGCAGCAGGGAAGGGCTGAGGGTCCTGACACATACCCCAGCAGGCACACAATGCTTGCAAGTCCCTGGAAATATCAAAGCTACCAGGCATGAGCTCCACGGAGCGCCATGAACTACATCACCCATGTGCCCGCTGGTTAAACCTTTCCACTGCTTCCGGTCCTTCCTTCTAAAATATCCAGGGTTTCCTGTTTCTGTGTCCGTGTTGCAAGTGCGCACACGAGATGAGAACTTAGACGTGAAATTGTTGGGTTGGAGTTCACGGGGTCTGGCGGCTTGGCCAATAGGTGTTCTGTAAAGGTGCAGAGCCGGCCAAGCGGGGGACAAAGGGGTGCTGATCTCCCTGCAGGCTGTACCAGTCAGTCAAGCTGCTCTACTCCTTTGGCATCTTCTTTACCTACGCACTGCAGTTCTACGTCCCGGCCGAAATCATCATCCCATTCTTTGTGTCCCGAGTACCCGATCGCTGCCACTTACTGGTGGACCTGTTTGTGCGCACCATGCTGGTTTGCCTTACGTGTGAGTATAGAAGGCCCTGTGTGTCTTCGCTTCCCCCCACCATCAAAGGACACCTAGTGCCCAGTGCTCCTAGGAGAGAGGCTACAGGCAGACATGCATGGCTTTTTTTTTTTTTCTGGTCACGGGGCCTGCATGTGGTAGCACATACCTGTAATCCCAGCACCGGGCCTGGCTCCTATGACTTTAAAAATAGAACAGACTTGAGTATTTTTTTCAAGATGAATGATTTGAATGTTGCTTATAGTTGGAGGAGTCAGAAATGACATTTTTGGCTGTCAGTGTATAGAAGGCAAGCAAAAGGCTCTCCTATGTCTGTCTGTCTGTCTGTTTCTGTTTCTTTCTCTCTCTGTATGTGTCTTTCTCTCTGTATCTCTTTTATCGTTTTGTACTAAGGATTGAATCAAGGCAGGCACTCTACCACTTGAGCCACATCCCTAACCTCTTTTTATGTTGGTTATCTCCAAGATAAGGTCTTTTGTTGTTGTTGGTGGTGGTGGTTATAGGCTTGAACTCAAAGCCAAGGTGCAGTCCCTGGGCTTTTTTTTTTTTTTCTTGCTCAAAGCTAGCATTCTACCACTTTGAGCCACAGCTCCTCTTCTAGTTTTCTGATGGTTAGTTGGAGATAAGAGTCTCGTGGACTTTCCTGCTTTGTCTGGCTTCAAACCTCAATCCTCATATCTCAGCCTTGTGAATAGCTCGGATTACAGGCAAGCAACACCAGCACCTGGCTAGGATAGGGTCTTTCTTTATGCCCAGACCACACTAGACTGAATCTTCTTACTTCTGCATCCTCATTACAGGAGATGATAGTCATACACTCCTTCATCCAGCCATTGGTCGAGACGGACTCTTTTGAACTTTCATGCCCGAGGCTGGCTTCAAACCATCTCCACATTGCACGCCCAGATTATTCTTTTTACCCACCTAAGAAACAGGACCTGATCTGGCTGTAGCAAGCCCTCTAGGCCCTTGCTGCTCTCTCATTTTACTTCTGAGTCTCCACGTGCAGAGAACTCCTTCTGATTGGATCTCACACAGCTCTCCTAAAGAGAGCAGGGTGGGGCGGGCAGGAGACAGGGCAGACAGCTTGGGTTCACCAGCCTTGCAGAGCCACGGCAGCCTGAGCTCCTGGCTTCCTCTACTACGTGTGGCTTTTCTCTGGGCAGTGTTCAGGGCCTTGGGCAGACCCAGTGGTGTGGAAAGAGCCCAGAAGGCAGCTAATTCAGGGCTCAAGTGGCTGCGAAGGGGGAGCACACGCTGTCTCTTACTTTTCTGATACATTGCCTTAATGTGTGTGGGCGGGGCAGCTGTCTGCCCTTTGCCAGCAGCACTTGAAGGTTTGAATGGAGTGTGTGTGTGTGTGTGTGTGTGTGTGTGTGTGTGTGTGTGTGTGTGTGTGTGTGTGTGTGGTGCCAGCTCTGAGAGGGCCCAATAGTGTCAGATGAAAAGATGAGAATGGTTGAAATAAGTTGCCTTTATTCCCACACCCCAAAGTGGATCCTGTAGGAGAAGCAGGGCTGCATCTTAAGCCTGGCGCCCTGATTCTCCAGGACCTGTGCTTTCCAACTTAGAGGCCTCTTTTGTTGTCTCGCCATGCTTTTTTTTTTTTTCCCCTAGGCTCGGTGGGGGCTGGGCGAGCTAGGGCTGTTTTTGATCTTCAAGAGCATGCACCTGCCTTTCCCTTCTGTGGTCTGTCGTGGCTCAGTACCTAGCATCTCATCCCATTAAAGAAGGTAGCCCCTTCATCTCTGAGAGTCCCGTGGCGTCCTCTGCTTCCTGGAGACTTTGAAGTCGTTGGATGGATCTCTAGGGCTGCCTGCAGGGTCTTTGTGCATTTGCTTTGTTCTTGCTGCTCTGTTCTTGTAGACATGTCCAATGTTGCTTGCTGTGGCATTTAGATTTTTTTTTTTGGAGGGGGGTGCCAGTCCTGGGGGTTTGGATTCAGGGCCTGAGAAAAAAAACCACTTCTGGCTTTTTGGTAGTTAAATTAATAAGAGTCTCACAGATGTTCCTGCCTGGGCTGGCTTCAGGCCACGATCCCTGGATCTCAGCCTCCTGAGTAGCTAGGACGACAGGTGTGAGCCACTGGTACCCGGCCGACATTTAGATCTTGTATCCACTGTAGCTTCTTGAGCAGGCTCTTTGCCAGTAAGAAGAACACAGCTTGTTGGAGCCTAGGATCTGCTCCTGAAATGAAGCGACTGAATCAGGACTGAGCCATGTCTTTTTCGTTGTTTGTTTGTTTTTGTCAGTCATGGGGTTTGAACTTGTGGGCCTGGGCTGTCCCTCAGCTCTTCAGCTTAAGGTGAGCGCTCTATCGCTTGAGCCACAGCACCACTTCTGGTTTTCTAGGGTTTTAGTGGAGATAGGAGTCTCACGGACTTTCCTGCCTGCGCTGGCTTTGAAGTATGATCCTCAGATCTCAGCCTCCTGAGTAGGTAGGATTACAAGCATGAGCCACCGGCACCCGGCTTAAGCAGTGTCTTACAATGACACAGTTAGGTAGGACAGGCCATAGAAATCTTCTCCTATTTGTTTCCCAAGCTCAGAGAGAGTGAGCATTTCTGCCCTGGGTCCCACAGCTTGTGAGAGGTAGGATGGCGATACCATAAGCTGGCTTTAAGCATTTTTGTGACATGCTGTATAGGACTCCGGGTTTGTTATGTGAATGATCTCACGGGGCTGTCCGCCCCCATGTGGCAGATGAGAAGAGTCAAGGTTTTGGGTGGGGAGTGGGGGCAGTGACCATATCTCTTTATGTAGAGAGAGCTAAGGGCCCAAAGAGACCTTTATTCACTCACAGGACAAATAAAAAGCCTGTATAGCTGGGCACTGGTGGCTCACATCTGTAATCCTAGCTACTCAGGAGGCTGAGATTTGAGGATCACGATTCAAAGCCAGCTTGGGTAGGAAAGTCTATGAGAGTCTTTTTTTTTTGGGGGGGTCCGGTTGTGGGGCCTGAACTCTGGGCCTGGGCGCTGTCCCTCAGCTCTTCAGCTCAAGGCTAGTGTTCTACCACTTGAGCCACCTTCCCACCCCTCCATGAAAGTCTTATAGCCAATGAACCACCAGAAAACTGGAAGTGGCGCTATGGCTTAAGTGGTAGAATGCTCGCCTTGAGCTGAAGAGTACAGGAACAGCTTTGAGGCCCAGAGTTCAAGCCCCATGACTGACAAAAAAAAGCCTGTATCCTCCTCCTCCCCTCCTCCTACTTTCCAGACATTGATTGAAAGTGCCTTGGTGTCTGATCCATAGAAGAAAGGAAAAGGAGGAAGGATGGCTGAGCACCCAGAACTAGTTCTGAGCTTCTGTGTCCCCCGAATCTGCTTTGTTCTTTGTTTTTGGTCGATCGTGGGGCCTGAACTCGGGGCCTGGGCACTGTCCCTCAGCTCTTCAGCTCAAGGCTAGCGCTCTACCACTTGAGCCACAGCGCCACTTCCGGCTTTTTTCTTTTTGCTTATGTGGTGCTGAGGAATCGAACCCAGGGCCTCATGCATGCAAGGCAAGCGCTCTCCCACTGAGCCACCTTCCCAGCCTCCGCTTTGTTCTTGAACATTGAAACCCCCATCATATTCCCTTTGGTGACACAAACAGGTCCAGGACAATTATGGTGGGCTTGGGGAAGCCTCTGCTTTCTACCACCCCTCCATCCCTCTTTTGTCTTTCCTTCATCCCTCCTCTGGGAGTCCTGTGTTTTCTTACTCCTTCTGTCTCTGAGGTCCTCATTTCCTCCTGGCATTCTCCCAGCCTTTCCTTTGGGCCTGGTTTCCATGGTGACAGCAATCAGGGAGTGGAGTCAGGCCCTGGCGGCTGGTCAGGCTCTGGAAAGAGGTGAGCATGAAGGACTGTATTGGGATTCGAATTCATTTGCACACCGTGTGGTCCCGTCCACTTTCCAGAAACCAAGTCCAAATCACCACCTGTGCAGAATGAACCTCAGGAGTCGCTGGGGTGAGGCTGAGCATGGGGTGCTGTCCTCCTAAGAGGTTACAGTGGGAACCCCACAGTGGGAATCTCAGTTTACCCATGTTTGGTTAACCCGCAGGTGGATTGTCTTTTTGCTGCTCTATCCCAGGGCTGTGGGTTCGGGACCCCCAGCCTCACGAAACCTGATTATGGCCACGTGATCATAGTCGCACTTCTATTTTGCCCACAAGAAAATGGGGAGTGTCCCCCAACTCATGAACAACACCGGATTGGAGTGTAAAATTCAAACCCAGAGCCCACAGTCAATCCTCAAATAGACGTGGGAAGACCACTTAGGTGGGGACACTGGGTGCAGGGGACCCCAGGAAAAGGTGGAGTTTCTCCCCTTTGCTTGGGGGACAGTCCCGGGAGCTGTTCTGGAAATGCTTGTGACGTGGGCTTCCCATCGTAGAGCTGGACCGGGAGGGGAACACTGAGGTTTTGAATGGCCAGTACCCTGGGTAGTAAGGCGATGAGCAGTTGCTCAGAGGTGGCCCAGCCCCTCTTCCGCATCATGGCCTTCCTTCCGCGGCAGAGACCCTATTGTCCTGGAATGCAGGGCAGGGAGATGGAAGCCAAGCCTGGCACTGTGGTGCCTGTCTACAATCCCAGCGCTCAGGGAGGCAGAGGCAGGAGGATGGTGAGGTCAAGGCCCATCTGATCTTCAGAGTCAAAGAAAAGGTCGGGCAGGCGGGCGGGTGGAATGGAAGGAAGGGAGAAAGGGAATGGAGGGGAAGAGAGGGAAGGAAGGGAGAGAGAAAGAAAGGGACAGCCGGGTACCAGTGGCTCACTCCTGTCATCCTAGCTACTCAGGAGGCTGAGAGTTGAGGATCGAGGTTCAAAGCCAGCCCAGGCAGGAGAGTCCATGAGACTCTTATCTCCTATAAACCACTAGAAAACCGGAAGTGGCGCTGTAGCTCAAGTGGTAGAGCACTCGCCTTGAGCTGAAGAGTTGGGGGACAGCGCCCAGGTCCAGAGTTCAAGCCCCCCAAAAGAGAAAGAAAGGAAGAAAGAAAGAAAAGAAGGAAGGAAGAAAGAAAGGAAGGAAGGAAGGAAGGAAGGAAGGAAGAAAGAAAGGAAGGAAGGAAAAGAAGGGAGGGAGGGTTTCTGAAGAAAGGAAGGAGAGGGAGGGAGAGAAGGAAGGATGGGAAAGAAGGAAGGAGGGAGGGAGAGAAGGAAAGAAGGAGGGTGAGAGGGAGAGAAGAAAGGAAGGGAAGGAAAGAGGTAGAGATAGGAAGAAAGGGAGGGAGGGAAAAAAGAAAGGGAAGAGAGAGAGAGAGAGGATCTTCATTTTCCCTGGAGCTCTCCATTGCAGAAGCCGGGCGGACGCTGGCTTGGCTGTGGCCAGTGCGCACCTCGTCCAGCAGGGGGCAGCTCTGACCACAAGCATTGCTCTCCCTCCTCCCCCCCGCAGGCGTGCTGGCCGTGCTCATCCCCCGGCTGGACCTGGTCATCTCTCTGGTGGGCTCGGTGAGCAGCAGCGCCCTGGCCCTCATCATCCCCCCGCTGCTGGAGATCACCACGTTCTGTGCAGAGGGCCTGAGCCCCCTGCTCATCGCCAAGGACGTCCTGATCAGCAGCCTGGGCTTCGTGGGCTTCGTGGTGGGGACTTACCAGGCTCTGTATGAGCTGATCCAGCCAAACAATGCCCCCATCTCCCTCAACGCCACCCATGCCTCTGTGTAGCAATCTGAGGGACATTGCCCCCCGTACCTGTCCCCCAGAGCCTCACACGCGGCCAGCCTGTGGGGAGAAGACGGGGACTATGTCTGGACGCCCCTGCCTTTGGCACTGGGTGGGTCCCATTGGGCCAGGCAAGCCCGAGGTTGGGGCCAGGGCAGGGTCTCAGACCCAAGGGACCGTCCTTCCCCTGGTGACAATGTCGTCACTGCCCCTATGTACTTTTATCTCTGCCTCTGATCCTCCCCTCCTCACGCCCTCCTCCCTCACCTGCCTGCCCCCCCCATCATATTATTCCTTCTGCACGGATCACTTTATTTAAGGCAGGGAAGGGGGGGCGGGGCTTCCTACACCTCAACGTTTTCTCCTGTCCTGGGCCAGGCCTGGATTAAATAAGTGGGGGAGTCCCCCCCACATCCTCTTTCTAAAGCCAGGCTTCTTTCTCAACTCCCTCCCAAAGGTCGTACCTCAATACCCGTTTAGCTGCTCAGCACTTGGGGTGCCGGGATCTACCTAGGGGTTTATAAAGTAGCCTCCCCCCCCGCGATCCTTCCTCGTTCCCTCTCTTCCAAAGCTGGAGGTCTGAATGTGCATCCTCTCTCTGGCTTGCCGTGACACCCCACCCCCCCGCCGTCCACACCTGCTGCCCCCCACATTCCCCCCACATGGGTCCCCCTCCTCTCTGCATTCTCCATTCTGATGCACCGTCCAGTTGGCATATTTATATGACAGCTTAGGTTTCGCTGGGAGATGCTGGCTTACGATCGGGGCGATCTCTTTTTCTCTTACTCGACTCCAGGACCTCTCTGCCCAAGGAGGTACCCATGTCGCTCCCCGGTGCCTGGCCTGGTGCCCACATGGCCTCTGTTGGAGGCCAGGGCTGCCTCCTGCAGCCCACCGGAAGCACTCAGTCAGGAGATGCTTCCCTGTGCACTAGCCCGGGGGGGGGGGCAGAGTTCCATCAAGGCAGGCTTAGGTGGGTGGTCGCTTTGCGCTTCCATGGCTAGCAATCACTACCTTTTGTGCGGAGACACCATCCATGTGGCTGAGCGCCAAGAGGTGATGTCACCGCACATAGTACCCGACGCTACATGTGCTGGGCTGTCTGTCTACCCTCAGGAGGGCAGAGGCTGTGTACCACCTCTGAATTTGTCCACACGCCGTGGGCTCCCAAGAAGCCATTGAACACTAACTGTACCCCATCCATCCCCCAGCCAGCCTCCAATGAGCTGCCTCCAGTTGGGCCTCCAAGGGGGGAGGGAAGGTAGCAGGGAGTGGGGGGGGAGGGGAGCCTCTTCCCTCCGTGTGTCGGGAGGGTCCCCAAGGGCATCCAACCACGCTGCTTGTGCCTGTGTGACAGTGGGCATTGTGCCCCTTTCCACACCTGACCTCGAGCTACGATTTTACCTTGAGCGCCGTGGGAAGGAGTCAGCAAGGATCGATCAGGGTTTTTGCTTTTTTTTTTTTTTTTGGTGCTTTTTCCAAAGTTGTGAGCGCCACCCCCTCTCCCCCCATATATATATATATATATATATATATACGCATTTATTGCTCAGCCTTCTCTCTCTCTCTGCTCCAAACGCAGCTAAGTGACTTCCAGGCAGAGGGGGCTTAGGAGAACGGTGTTCTTCTCCCATCCCTTCTGCTCTGGGGTGGGGTGGGGGGACATGGGAGGTGCTCACGTGACTAAGGGTTGGGGCTGGGGAATCCGCAGAGGTCCCGGCCTCTCCAGTCCCAGAGAAATGACCAAAGTGGGTCCCGAAATGGGCCCCCCTCATTCCAGGCCTGGCAGGTCGAGCTGTGCAGTCCTGCTGGGGTTGGGGGGCTACCCCAGATGGGGCTCGAGGCAAAAACCTGGCCTTCGTCTGGACCCTAGCTCTGCGCAGATGATACACTGGTGCTGCTAAGCCCCTAGGCCTGAGAAGGCTGATGTACGGGGAGCCGGCTCAAGCGTTAGGGTGTTTGGTTTTTCTTTTGTGCTGGTACCAGGGCTTGCATTCAGGGCTTCGCGCTGTCCCTGAGCTTTTTTCACTCAAGGCTGGTGCTCAACCTCTTGATCCACCACACCTCCACTTCCGGCCTTTTTTTTTCTTTTTTTTTTTTTTTGCTGGCAAATTGGAGCTAGGCACTCCCACAGATTTACCTGTGGGGGTTGGCTTTGAACTGTGGCCCTCCGATCTCAGCCTCTTGAGTAGCTAGGATGTACAACGTTAGGAGTTTCCTATGGCCGGTGTATCTGGGCTCCTGGATCAGACAGTTTGGCTGCAGGGCCCTTGCAGAAATCCCAGGTAGACCCACAAGGGCCCTGGCCCAAAATACCCGGATGGAAAGTAATTTGATCTCAGAGTGACAGGGTAAAGGATCTGCTGGACAGGCCGCCAGCAAAGCCACAGGGCGCTGACTCCACGTGGCACGGCCCTGCCTCCTCTCCCAGACGCCTGCATGCTCAGAGGCATGGCTCAAGTGAGTTGTTGTTATTTCTCTCCATCAGTACCAAGGATGGAACTTATGTTTGCCAGGCCAGAGTTAGCACTGAGAACACATTGTGCCTCTCACCTCCAAATGCCACTGTGGGGTGCAGGTCCCATTGTACAATGTCCCCGAAGAGGGGGTGTGGCTCTTTGATGCAAGCCTTTTCCCGTTCACTCTGGCTCCTCCCAGCTTCCTCTTGCTCCAAAATCATGTGTGGCAAACACTACACGTGGACTTCAAAGTTTGAAATCTCCGTTTACAGCTCATTTGTTCCTCACTCGGCTCAGGCTTTGTGTCCAGGGATTTTCGTTTTTAACCCCCTCCCACAGGTTGCTTCTCCCTCCCTCAGGAGAACAAGACAGTCCAGGGAACAGGAGATGGTGATCAGAAGAGTGGCCAAAAATAGCATTTTCCAAAATGCATCACCGATCTCTGAGATGATTCGTGGAAAGGAAAGTGATCGAGCTGGTCTTTGAACTCACAGTCAGACCTTGCAGGCAAGGAGATCTGCTGAGGGCAGAGCTGTTGACCCTGGCAGGGCCCTACCCCATGAGATGTCTCCCTCTTCTTGGGTACTGTTGATTCAGTCCTTGGTAGAAAACATCCCATGATGCTAATGGGCAATCTGAGCGAGCAGATTGAAAAATAAGGGCAGAAGGTACCAGACACCAGACTTGTTCTTTGGTCTCAGTGAATAGGATGGTGAAGAATGCGGTTCTCTTTTAGGGAATGGTAGGATTTGGGTACCTGTGCTGTAAACATCGGTGGCCTTTGTGGGTACCAGGAACAAGCACCCAGCCTGTCCCGATAACCACGCGGTACTGGCGAGTTCCGTGCTGGGATGGGCCCAGCATGTCCGTCTTGGTGTGTACAGATGCGGGCGTGCCAGAGCTTGTAGCAGATTCCACCTGGGGTTGTGTGCACGGATTGCGTGTTAAACTTTTCCCTTTCAATAAATGAATTTTAATTTTTATTTTTCACAGGTTGTGGTCTGTGTCTTTGTTCTCACACATCTTTAAAATAATAATAATAATGTTGCTGTGTGCCAATGGCTCACATCTGTCATCCTGGTGGCTCAGGAGGCAGAGAGCTGAGGATCACAGTTCAAAGCCAACCCAGGCAGGAAAGTCAGTGAGACTCTTCTCTCCCAACGAGCCACCCAAAAAGCCGGATGTGGAACTGTGGCTTAAGCGGTAGAGCACTAGCCTTGAGCAAAGAATAACTCAAGGATAATGCCCAGACCCTGAGTTCAAGCCCTAGGATTGGCATAAACAAAATACCACTCAGATCTCTTTACTGGATCTTAGGTTAACATTAGTTTGCTCATTACAGTGACCAGATCCCTAATAGAAACAATTTATTCACTAGATAGTCTGGAGTGCATGTCAGGAACAGAGCTGTTGATATCATGGCAGCCCGGAAATAGATGTGAAATCCTGGAAGGGACCCAATCTCCTAAACCACAAACCCCCAGTAACCTTGTACAGTCTGCCTCACCCTTCTACCTCTCGATACCTCCTATCAAACCATGACTCCATCAAGTGATTCATCTCAGCCTAGCTGGATCTACAGAAGGCCTGAGGCTCAACTTAAAAAAAAAAAATCCGCCAGGCGCTGGTGGCTCACGCCTGTAATCCTAGCTACTCAGGAGGCTGAGATCTGAGGATCACGGTTCAAAGCCAGCCCGGGCAGGAGAGACTATGAGACTCCTATCTCCAATAAACCACCAGAAAACCGGAAGTGACGCTGTAGCTCAAGTGGTAGAGCGCTCGCCTTGAGCTGAAGAGCTGAGGGACAGCGCCCAGGCCCAGATTATATGGCTACTCTTTTCTAGAACCTTCCCAGGCTGGTTTAGTTAGCATTTATGACTCTCTCCTCAGCAGCCTGTACTGCTGCTTTTCTGTTTAGCCTCCTACCTGCCTATGGTGTAGAGACACAATGATGTCTGCCCGGAACCACAGCTCCCACAGCAAATGTTTCTAGAACATTGTGGCTGTTTTGAGAGCATGTAGACATTCCCCCACCCCCTTTGTCATGATTCCCTAAACCAAATGCATGCTGTTGTGGACCTTATAAGTCATCTAAAGATGATTGAAAATAGGTGTAGTCTATTTATGCTGGGTGTTGGTGGCTCACATCCATAATCCTAGCTACTGAGGAGGCTGAGATCTGAGGATCGTAGTTTAAAGCCAGCCCAGGCAGGAAAGTCTGTGAGACTCTTATCTCCTGTGATCCACCGGAAGTGACACTGTGGCTCTAAGTGGTAGAGTGCTCACCTTGACCAAAAAGAGCTCGGGAGACACCACCTAGGCCCTGAGTTCAAGCCTGACCAAAAAACAACAACAATAACAAAATATGTGTGTAGCTTACATGGAAGACAGGAACACCCAGGGATTTTGTGTCTTCTTCGTTTTTTGCCGGTCATGGGGCTTGAACTCTGGGCCTGGGCTCTGTCCCTCAAGCTCTTCCACTCAAGGCTAGCACTCTACCTCTTGAGCCACAGCACCACTTCAGCTTTTTCTGTTTATGTAGTGCTGAGGAATCGAACCCAGGGCCTCATGCATGCAAGGCAAGCGCTCTACCACTGAGCCACCTTCCCAGCCCTTTTGTGTCCTCTCTACCTCCTGAACTACTTCTCTGTGGGTACCAAGGGACCCTGTGTTTGGTCCTTGCTCTAGATCAGCTTAGATTGGTACTGTCTCCTGCCACCTGCCCCTGAAATGGCCTGGCTTACTAAATGCAGGATAATCTCCTTGCCATCTAGGCCTGGTTGGCAGTCAATGTCATTCTGTTTCTTTGGAATTTTACATCCATTTAACCAAGAATGTCCCCTTGGTTGTGTACTTGGTGAAAAATAGACTGTGTGTCCTGAGAAAGTCATCTTAGAACTTTACATAGTATATAGCCTTTTCCCTCAGCGTGTGTGTGTGTGTGTGTGTGTGTGTGTGTGTGTGTGTGTGTGTGTGTGTGTGTGTGTGTGTGAATATTGGGGCTTGAACTCAGAGCCTGGGTGCTGTCCCTGAGCTTTTTATTTTTATTCTCAAGACTAGTGAGCCACAGCTCCACTTCTAGCTTTTTTTTTTTGTAGTTGTTGTTGTTGCTTAATTGGAGATCAGAACTCACAGACGTTCCTCCCTGGGCGGGCTTTGAACTGTGATCCTCAGATCTCAGCCTCCTGAATAGCTAGGATGACAGGCGTGAGCCACCTATGCCTGACTCCCCTTTCGCTTAAAAAAAAATTCTTTATTGAGATTAAGTGACTACATAAATTTCACACTATGTGGCACAGTTATACTTAGCTAAAGTCACAAACACATTTTAACCTTCACAATGATAATCATCATTATCACAATCTACAAAGCTTATGAGCTCTATGAACTTTAACAATAAAATTATGTCTTACAAATCGGGTGATATGTACATTTCTTTCCTTTTGCTTAATAACAGCTCTTCTCCACTTTCGCTATTTGAGAATCTCTCCAAAAAAAAAAAAAACAGTAGTTCACCTGCTGTGTCCTTTTTCCCTCCTAGATACTGCCTTGATACACATCTCCACGCTGCCTAACACTCAAAGAAAGCAGTTTCTGGATCCTTCTATAATGCACAAGCCTTCCCTCATTCTCAGCTGCCCTTCCTCTCCTAACAGAATTTATCCCCTGCCTGCTTCCTACAGTCTTTGCTCATAGCAGACTCCTCCCTCCCTCCCTCCCTCCCTTCCTTCCTTTCCTCTTTCTCCAACAATGCTTAAAATTTCTGGGTCACTGCTATTGTCCCCAGGGCATGATGGAGGGTTAGAGTCCCAGAGTGGAGCCCCACGACTGAACAGGCTCCTATCTCCCCATCTCTAGACACTCTGGCTCTATTTATCCCCCTTAGAATTGGAGCGATCTTCTTGACTGGTTAAGTCACAAGGTCTGGAGTCAGGCAGAGCTGGGTTCAAATCCTGGCCCTGTCACTCATGAATTTGGGGACCTTGCTTATTTTAAGTCACAAACATCTTGCAGGCTACCTAATTCCTTTGTGCTTCTGCTTCCCTTGTGTAAGTATGTGTGTGTGTGTGTGTGTGTGTGGGTAAACAGTACCAATCTCAGGAGGGTTTGTATTAATAAGAGGAGAGAGTTGCTCAGGGCTCAGCCTGTGGCAGGTGGTCTGTGGCATGTGGCTGTAGAGGTGGAGGCTGGCAGTGGTGATGAGGTTTATGAACTGTAAAATATAACTGCTGTGTCATAGTCCAGATGTTTAAACCAGCTGCCCAGTAGTTTGAAGAAGAGAGACTTTCCCTGGAAACCTTTCTTGCCTCTCTGGGCTCCCTCAATCAGTTCTTGTTCTTTGCGCCACCTTGCGGTCACCTTTGGAAGTTCAGGCTGGGAGTGTGCGGATAAGGCCAGGGGCCAACACCTTTTCTTTTATGCACGCATGCATGCCAGTATTGGGGCTTGAACTCTGTGTATCCTGGGCCGTAGTGAAGTCTCTTGATTGTGTCTGGGCCCTGTAGAGAAGGCTGTTTTTACTAGATCTTTAGGATCCTTTCCAACTCTCAGATTCTATGAATCTGGGGTCTGAAGGGCCTGTAGACACTCTGACCATTCCTCCAGCCCAGCCTGAAACAGGCTGAATGATACCAAACGTAACAGTAGAAAAAGTTACTTTATTGTTAAAAAAACAACAACCACCAAGCACACACCAGTCACGCACCGCACTCTCTCAATCCACTCTCCCCCATGCAGTTCCCTCTGGCTAGGGATAGCAGCCCCATGCAGGTCGCTGGGCAGTGGCTCTTCTATTTTGACTTTTGTCTCCAATACAAAAACAACAAACCCAACACTTATGAAAAGGCAGTGGACCAGAGAGGGACTGGCAGAGGACAGGGCCCTGAGGCCACCACAGGCCTCCCTGGCTTCTCTGCCACCCCAGCTGCACACCCCCCCATACATGTGTCACACACACACACACCATGTCCATGGTTGCTCACACCTGTAGACCCTAGCCCACAGTGACTCTCCATGCATAGGGCGGAGTCAGGGAGGGCAACACTTGATTGGCAGGCATCTGAGAGGAAGGGGCGGGAACAGGCAGGAATGGGCGGGAACTGGCAAAGGGTCCAGCCCTTGGCTCCCTGCAAACAGCAGTTCCAAGTTGCTTGTGTCTAAAGAGGAAACGTCTTTTTCTTTCATCCAGACAGCAAGGCTGGAATTTAAATGAAGTACTTATATCCTTCCCGCCTTCAGCCCCTCACCCCCCCCCAAAAAAAAGTGCCTGAGAAACTTGGGGGTAAAGAACCCAGAATTCCATGAGGTCTTGAATTCTTCACAAGAGCAAAGTTTGGGGGTGCTCTTGGCAGACCCAGGCTGGACCAGAGATGTAAAGAAACAAAGGAAATCCCTCTGCTGTTTGGGCTATATAAGGAGTGGCACTTTGGGGAGACTGAGGCCCCAGGGATGCTTCCAGGGGGAGGGAGATGGGCACCTGCCCAGTGCCTGGCACCCACAGACATAGGCAGATAGTGGATGAGCATGCGCAGAAGGCCCGATGGGCAGGTGGCTTCACCTGCTGTTCCCCGCTCGGCCGCTAGGTGGACCCCGGGGTGGAGCCGCGGTCCCAGCTGGCCTGTGGAATGAACATCAAACCTCCCCAAACCTCCCCCGCCGCCTCCCAGCTGGGGAGCTTGGAAGACCACAGCCCAGCCAAACCGGCGACCTGTCGTCCAGGCAACGAGGTGCCAGGGTCAGCATCCAGCCCATCCCTTCTTGTCCATCCTGGGAGGCAGCGATGGCTGGTTTCCTAGGAAACCAGCTCAAGAGAGCATCCCTTCTCTGAATCCTAGTGCTTTTTTTTAAACTCCACCCTCAGCTTCCTTCCATCCTCAGAGACTGGAAGGTCCACTCGCTCCCTAGGAGACTAGAAGATGGGGGGGAAGGATCTCCGGCTCATCTTCCTCTGAGAACATGAAGCTAGAACATCACTTCTTCACAGCTCCCGTAATCACTCTCCACCATGTCTGAACCTTCATAATTGGGGGGGGCTCGGGGCTGGCCCCGACCCACAGGAGGTCCCCCTTCTACCTCACAGTCAGCGTACGAGGGTCCCGCCCTGCTGAGCCGCATGCTCACCCCCTTGTAGCCGCCCTCTGCCAGGCAGGGCCCGCCCCCTCCCTGCCGGAGCGAATGGTAGTAGCTGATGGCCGTGTACTCATTGAGAGAAGGCGGCAGCAGAGGTTCACGGGGGCCGGGGGCTGCGGGGGGCGGTGGCATCAGGTCTTCCAGATTCTGGTTGCTATAACGGGGTGGGAGGGGTGCCCTCTTGTTTTCCAGTTCCAGGGGGAAGGGGAACCCCCCGTAGAGACCAGCGGGCTCTGGGATCATGGCTGCACGATGTTGGGGGGAAGGTGGCCGAGAATCCTGAGACACTTCGGAGTGAGCGTACTGCCAGCGATCGCTCCTGGAGTAAGTGGGGGGCCAGACCGCAGCTCTGCTGGGATACACTGCAAGGGAATGGCAAGATAGAGTGAGTCCTCCCCAGAGAAGGTTCTAGAAGGTCCTATGGCTCCTATATATACAATGCAGCACATGGCCACTCTCTACCTGTTGTCTTTGCAAACACAAATATAGATAAGATGGGGTGGGGGGAGAAGTTCAAGGCCTCAGGGGTGTGTGTGTGTGTGTGTGTGTTTGCGCGCGTGCGCATGCGCGCACATGCACACTGGTCCTAGATCTTACTCAGGGCCTGAGTTGCTGTCCCTTGACAGTTAAGGTTGGTGCTCTACCACTTGAGCCACGGCTCCCGTTCTCATTTTCTGGGGTTTACTGGAGAGGAGAATCTCACGGACTTGGAGGCAGGGCCTTCAGAGCTCAGCCTCCCGAGTAGCCAAAATCCCAGGCGTGAGCTCTCCAGCACCTGGCAAGGCTGCAGGCATTGCCCGGAGCTGTCTTGCACAAATCTCTGCTTCTGGAGCCGAGGCAGAGCGAACCAGGTTCATAGCCTGACTCTAAAGCTGGATCCCACGGAGGGCAGAAATCTCCCCCCACAGAAAGAAACAAAGCATGCGCCTGCAGAGGTCACGTTGTCTATCACAGGAAGGGATAAAATGAAGTTTGGGAGAGATGGGGAGTCCTTGATTGGTCCTACACCCCCTTTCTACCACTGAGAAGCTCAGTTAGAATGAGTCACAAATACTGCACTCATTTGTAACCACTGGCAAATAGGCCAGAGAAATCAGTTGAAAGTGCTTTAGCAGTTCACCTACTTGTGGAGCCAAAGATGGGGTTGGGTGGGGTGTGGGGGGATTGTGCCTCCCTGTTGGACAACCAGAAACTTAAATCAACTGCTTGGCTTTCCTGTCTTAGAAAAGCACAAATGCATAGACCTCTTCCTTATACTCCAGGAATTCTGCCCCAAGACCTAAGCACCACCTATGGTAAGTTTCTGGAAGGAATTGCAGTTCCGTGGAAGACCCTTGGAATCTACAGGAGATGATCGCGGAGCCACAGACTCTGGCATGAGAAAGCTGGCATTTTTCCAGCCCTGGCACGGAGACATCTGGAATACACCCCCCTATCGAGTCCCCTGACCCCCTAAGAATCCGATTGAATGTGTTCTCAAGGATTATTTAGGGGGGGATCCCAGAGGCTGGGGGGGGTGTACTGACCCATCTCCTCGCCTGACCAGGTCCTCTTCATGATGCACTTGTGGTCCGGATGTGGAGGGACCGCAGTAGATGTCGGGAGCCTGGGCGGCACGCTGCAGACCACTGGCTGCTGCTTCGAGTTCGGCCCGAAAGTGACCAGTTCACTGGGAATGGAAGTCTTGCTGGGCTCCAGTTGGTTCAAGTTGGTGCAGGAGCTGGTGGTCAGAGGGTCGAGCTCAATGGCTGGCAGGGCTTGGGTGTCTACCCCGATGCTCCGCGCGAGGAGATCGGGATCCTCCATTGTCACCGGCTTGTGAGACTTGCAGCGGCGACAGTAGAAGAGAAAGCCAGCCGTGCTCACCACCATGACCAAGATGGCCACGATAACGATCAGTAACTCCTGCTGTCCCCAGTCCCCCCGCGTGATCTCGGGTGTGATTAAGCAATGTCCTTCTGAGCAACCCCTGGCCTCCATTTCACACCTGGAGAGAGAGAGAGAGAAATAGGGTCCCTGGTCATTATATTGCCCCTTTCTATGTCCCCTAGGATGAGACAGGAAGTCCCACCCTTTGGGGGAGGGGCCTATGAGTGAGGGGGACATTATCAAACATCAGAACGCTCTCTCTCCTCCCTGGGCAAGTGGGATCTGCTACAGGCTCATTGGTGACTCTTTAGGAAATGGGCGTGTCCATTAGTGGCAGCCAATCAGATCTAGGGATGGGATATTCTCTCCACCAATGAGGTCAGAGGTGATTGAAGTGGAAGCCATCCAGGCACCCCAGTCCTCTCCCAGTTGCTGCGTGGCCGCTGGGACCAGGGTGCTTTACTAGGAGGTCAGAGTGCAAAGGTCACTTGCTATGGGTGTCAAACCTTAAGGGGTAAGAAGCCCAGGGCAGAGGGTGTCCCCAGGGGTTTACCTGTCCCCTGTGTAGGGGTGAGGGCAGTTACAGGAAGTTCCTTCCGGGGAGGGCATGCAAGTCCCCCCTTCCAGGCACGGCACGGAAGTGCAATTCTCTCTCTGTAGTTCACAGTGCCGCCCGGAGAATGGTGGGGCACAGCTGCAGACGTAGCCTGGGAGGGAGACAGGAAGGGGACCGAGGGACTGGCTCGTAACTAGAGCCAGCTGCTTGCAGATCTGTGTGATCATGTCGACTCAAGAGTCTTAATGTAGGGCTGGGAAGGTGGCTTAGGGGTAGAATGCTTGCCTCGCCTGCTTGAAGCTCTGGGTTTGATTCCTCCCTACCATATATATAGAAAAAGCTGGAAGTGGGGCTGTGGCTCAAAATGGTAGAGCGCTAGCCTTGAGCAAAAGAAGCTCAGGGACAGTGCCCAGGCCCTCAGTTCAAGCCCCAGGACTGGCAAAAGAAAAGAAAAGAAAGAAATATTAATGTAGCCAGGTGTTAGTGACGCACATCTCTAATCTGAGATGTTCAAGAGGTTAAGGTCTGAGAATCATGGTGCCAGCCTGGGCAGCAAAGTCCATGAGACTCTTCTTGCTAATTAACCACCAAAAAGTCAGAAGTAGAGCTGTGACTCAAGTGGTTCAGCATCAATCTTGACTGAAAAAACTAAACGAGGACAGGAGGCCCTGAGTTCAAGCCTCAGCGTGCACACACACACACACACACACACACACACACACACACATTGTTCAGCATCAATCTTGACTGAAAAAGCTAAACAAGGACAGGAGGCCCTGAGTTCAAGCCTCAACACACACACACACACACACACACACACACACACACACACACACACCCTGAATGAGCCAGTCACTCATGGCTAAGTAATTCTACTTAGGAAACTGAGACTTGGAGGACACAGTTTGAAGCCAGCCTGGGGAGAGAAGTCCGTGAAAATCCATCTTTGAAATAACCAGCAAAAAATAGGACTGGAGTCATGGCTCAAATGGTAGAGCTCCAGCCTAGCAAAGGCAAGGCCCTGAGTTGAGATCTTAGTACCACTTACCGTCCCTCCCCCCATACACAATTAAATTGCCTTTGGGAACCTGGGGAGTGGAAGAAAGTGAAATATTGTCTAAAGTGAAATAAGGAAGAGTCTTTGCATGAACCACAGATGACAATAAATGTATGTCATCTTTCTACATTCAAACACCTCATTCAGGGGCTGGGAAGGTGGCTCAGTGGTAGAGCGCTTGCCTTGCATGCCAGAGGCCCTGGGTTCGATTCCTCAGCACCACATAAGCAAAAAGAAAAAAGCCGGAAGTGGCGCTGTGGCTCAAGTGGTAGAGCGCTGGCCTTGAGCTGAAGAGCTGAGGGACAGCGCCCAGACCCAGAGTTTAGGTCCCACGACCGGACCCCCCCCAAAAAAACAAACACCTCATTCATTCTCTTCCTCATCCCCCAAAATAGTAAAAGATATGTTTTATTGAAAGCAAAAAAAAAAAAAATAAGCCAGGTGCCTGTGGATCATGTTTGTAATCCTAGCTACTCAAGAAGCTGCAATCTGAGGATCAGGGTTCAAAGCCAGCCTGGGCAGCAAAGGCTGTGAGACTCTTACCTCCAGTAAACTACCAGAAAACTGGAAGTGGCGCTGTGGCTCAAAGTGATAGAGCGCTTGTCTTGAGCAAAAGAGCACAGGGACAGTACTCAGGACCCAAGTTCAAGCCCCATCACTGACAAAAATAAAATACAGTTAAAAAAGACTTGCTTCCTCTAGTTCAACCAGCCATATAGGCTCCGAGAGGAAGAAGGCTGTTTGGTCTCAAGAGGACGAAGTTCTTCACCAAACCCTTACACTTGACTATGCCACACCAACTTCCAAACCACACGACTTTCCCCCTCTAGTCCCTTAGAGAAGCCCAGCAATCCCCTGAGCTGTGGAGAAAAAAAAATAGATGAATATCAGCCTGTCCCAGAGCTGGTGGCTCACCCCTGTCATCCTAGCTACTCAGAAGGCTGAGATCTGCAGATCTCAGTTCAAAGCCAGCCTGGGCAGGAAAATCTGCAAGGCTCCTTATCTCCAATTAACTACCCAAAGAAAACAAAAAGGCAGGAGTGGAGGTGTGACTCGAGTGGTAGAGCGCTAGACCCTGAGTTCAAGTCCCAAAGCTGGCATAATTAAAAAAAGAAAGAAAGAAAAAGGAAAGAAAAGGAAGAGAAAGGAAACAGATGTAAATACGTTCTCCTGCCACAGGGGGGCAGTGGAGAGCAGGGGAAGAGTCGGCTTTGTGAACTGCACAGTGCTGACAGGGCCCTTCATTCCTGGTGGTCCCATCTTACCTGTCCCGGGGACCTGAGAGCACGTCCCCCCGTTGAGGCAGGGGTCTGGGCTGCAGGCGTCACTGCGTGGGCAGCACGGGCTGAGGGCCTCTCTCTCCAGCACGCCTGCCGTCCTCTCTGCATGACCCACAAGCTCCAGCCCCTTGCCATTGACCACCAGGCCATCCAGGCAGCCTTGGAAACCCTGGGTGACGTTGGGGGACGCGTGGGAAGGCACAGGGCCGCCTCCCAGGATCAGGTGTCTCTCCTCCGGCCCCAGGCCTCGGCAGTTCTCCGGGATGATGAGTGAGGCTTTGCCGGAGCTGTCGGTCAGCAGGCGAACCCAAGCGTCCGTCAACTCCAGCCCCAGGGAATGCCACTCGCCGTCATCCACCGGGATCCTGGAGGAAAGGTTACCATAGAAACCACCTGGACAGCGGTATTCCAGCTGGGGCACACCCCTGGCCAGCTGTGGAGAGAAGAGGGCAGCCATCAGCAATGGCAAGTTGTCCTGCTAACTGCCCAGGTCAAACAGCGCTGTTTGTGTTTGCAGTTAGTGTTTGTGGTTGTTTTGGGGTATGTGTGTGTGTGTGTGTGTGTGTGTCAGGTCAAACAGCGCTGTTTGTGTTTGCAGTTCGTGTTTGTGGTTGTTTTGGGGTGTGTGTGTGTGTGTTTGGGGTGTGTGTGTGTGTGTGTGTGTGTGTGTGGTCCTGGGGCTTGAACTCAGGACCTGGGAGCTATCCCCGAGCTCTTTTGCTCAAGGCTACTGCTCTATCACTTGAACCACAGCCCCACATTGGCTTTTTCTAAGTAGTTTATTGGAGATAAGAGTCTTACAGACTTTCCTGCCCTGGCTGGCTTTGAACTGGGATCCTCAGATCTCAGCCTCCTGAGTAGCTAGGATGACAGGCCTGAGCCACCAGCATTTGGCCCCAAAAGGTCTCTTCTCATCTTTTTTAGGTCTAATTTTTTTTATATGAATGAATTCATGTGATATGTCTTTCTGAGCCTGATTGATCTTGTTGGACAGGATGAGCTCTAGTTCTACCCATTTTCCTGCTGACGACAATTCCACTCTTCTTTATGGGTGAGTACTACTCCACTGTACACAGGTGCCATTTTTGCTTTATTTCCCCCCGGGGCTTGAACTCATGGGCTGGGCACTGTCCCTGAGCTGCTTTTGTTCAAGGCCAGCGCTCTACCACATGAGCCACAGCACCACTTCCAGCTTTTTCTGTGTATGTAGAACTGAGGAATCGAACCCAGGGCCTCATGCATGCAAGGCAAGCACTCTACCACTGAGCCACATTCCCAGCCGTGATATCCTATTTTCTTGCAGCCAACATCCCTGGAAACCTGGTCGGCAGTGGCTTCCGGACATCCTCCAGACCTCCCGGCCTCGTGGCTTAGCCTAGGGCATGACATGAAATCTCTTCCGCTGGCAGCCTTACCTTCAAGGAAATGGATGCCGAGTCATTAGAGACCAGGAGAATGGCCTGAGGCTGGCGTGTTTGCATGTGGAAACGGATGCGCCAGTTCCCAGCCTGCGCCCGGTACCGCACGTAGCTCTGACCATTGAACCTGGCCGCCGTGCCTACGAAAGCAATCAGAGGTATCACCACAAACTCACCGTTATGGCGCCTTTGGATTGTTGAGGGCTTTAGTTTACTCTCTAATTGGACCCTCTGTTGATAAATGGGGCTCAGAGGATGCAAATGGCCCCCCCAAAGGACAAAATGAGGGCTTGAACTGAGGCTGTGTGTAATTTTTTTTTTTTGCCAGTCCTGGGGCTTGAACTCTGGGCCTGGGCACTGTCCGTGAGCTTCTTTTGCTCAAGGCTAGCACTCTACCACTTGAGCCACAGCGCCACTTCGGTTTTTTTTCTGTGTATGTGGTGCTGAGGAATCGAACCCAGGGCTTCATGCATGCTAGGCAAGCACTCTACCACTGAGCCACCTTCCCCCAGCCTCCAAATGTCAAATTTGAAGCTCACACCCAGCAGGCTGTGGCTCTAACTGTGGCTTTTGTAACTTGTTCTAAGTACTTTCTAAGTACTTGGAGTACTTGGTTCTGAGTACTTACTCTGGGGCAGGCTGTTGTAAGCTAGCAGCAGGAGGTCCAGATTCAGTCCCTACAATAGACCTACCCACGAGTCCTCCCATCACGTGGCTACTAAATGGTAGAGCTGAGATTTGAACCCAGGCTGATGTCAACATCGATGCTCTCTGAGCCAAGCTGTGAAACTGATTTGCTAAGCGGCCAGGCGCTGACTGCTCTGCCAGGACTTGATTAAACCATAGCACAGAGGCCACACCCATCATCCTAGCTACTTAGGAGGCTGAGATGTGAGGATCAGGGTTCAAAGCCAGCCCGGGCAGGAAAATTTGTGAGACTCTTATCTCCAGTGAACCACCAGAAAACCAGAAGTGGAGCTGTGGCTCCAAGTGGTAGAGCGCTAGCCTTGAGCATAAAGAGCTCAGGGACAGTGCTCAGGCCCTGAGTTCAAACCCCAGGACCGACTCAAAAAACAACCACCAAAAACCCCATGGCACAGAGCCATGGTGGGATTTGAACACCCGAGTAGACAGGTAGAGCCCAGTGATGCGCGTTTTCCCAGGCCACGTCTTACCATTACAGGAGCAGCTTCTCTCCAGACGGTGTCGCGGCGTGAGGATGCTTAGCCTGGCTGTGCTATAGGGGGGCCCCACATTGGGGTCCAAATGCACCATCATTTGGCATGACTGATCCTGGCAGCTCGGTCCCTGGCAAGGCCCCACGGGCAGGGCCGACCTTATCTGAATCCCCACCGACTGTTCCATCTCCTTGGCCGAGTGAACCAAGCTGGACGCCCATTCTTGCAGGTGGTGGAATGTTCTAGAAGGCTCCTCAAAGACCAGGAGCAGATCCACGCCAGGCCCGGCCTGGGCAGGTTGCAGGCTGGCCAGGTGGATGTTGGCACGTTTGATGTCTAGCTTGTGTCTGAGGAAACGCTGGAGGTTTCTCCAGTGATCGCTCACCAGCTCCTCCGGGGTGAGCTGCTGGAAACTCACCCAGAGGGCCTGGCGCAGGGCCTCGCGCCCCACGTGCCACACGTGGACGTGGACCCCAGTGGTGGTGGCAAAGGTGCCGTCACTGACCGTGATGTTGAAGGAGTAGCGGCCACGGGGCAGTGCCTGGGTGGCGAGAATCTTGCCATCCGTGGACCCCACGGAGAAGCCAGCGCCCAGAGTCTCCTCGCCTGCTAGGCTGTAGGTCAGCGTGTCCTGAGGATCTCGGTCCGTGGCGTGGATCTTCCCCACCACGCCACCGTGGAACCCCCTCTCCCCGGTGGTGATGAAAATCTCCAGTGGGAGGGCGGAGGGGGGGTAGTGGCTGGGCTCTGTGACGTGGACATGGACCCACGTCACAGAAGACAGGGGAGGAATGCCACTGTCGGAGGCCTGCGGGGCAAAGGACACGTGGCCATTACTCCCGCATCTCTGCTCCGGGGCTGGCTGCCCTGCCCTACGCCCACCCCGGCCGGGCTGTGTGGTCATCACTGAAGAGCACAGAACTATGCTAGAGATCTGTGTGTGTGTGTGTGTGTGTGTATGCATGTGCACACATGTACATGCTGGGACTTGAACTCAGGGCCTGGGCACTGTCCCCGAGCTTTTTCACTCAAGGCCAGCGCACGACCACTTTGAGCCACTACTCCATTTCTGGCTTTTGGGTGGCTAAGGGGAGATAGAGTCTCACAGACTTTCCCTGCCCAGGGGCTAGCTTTGAACCAGGATGGATCCTCAGTTCTCAGCCTCCTGAGTAGCCAGGATTACAGGCGTATGGGTACCCAGTGACATGTTATTTCATCTGTTCATCTTTTGTCTCTAGTTGAACTGGAACTGTTCCTTTCTCATGCCAGATTGTATTCATAGTGAGTTGCACAGGATATGCAAATGAGAGATGGCTTGATTGGCTGGGATATACAAAGGAGAGATGGCTTGACTGGATGGAGCATGGCATATACAAATGAGAGATTGCGGGGCTGGGAAGGTGGCTCAGTGGTAGAGCGCTTGCCTTGCATGCCTGAGGCCCTGGGTTCAATTCCTCAGCACCACATAAGCAAAAAGAAAAAAGCCGGAAGTGGCGCTGTGGCTCAAGTGGTAGAGCGCTAGCCTTGAGCTGAGGAGCTGAGGGACAGCGCCCAGGCCCAGAGTTCAGGCCCCACGACCGGACCCAAAAACAAAAAAACAAAACAAAAAAAAAAGAGGATTGCTTGATTGGACAGATGGATGGATGGAGGCTAGCTTATGCAAATGAGAGACTCCCTGATTGGACAGATGGATGACATCACCCTTGCCTGCCTGGGAGCCCATAGCTCATATCACAGCCAGATGCACTGAACTTGAGGTGGTGGAGTGGGGAGGATCTGGGGGAGTGAGGAGCGGGAGGATGCTCTGACCACCATCTTGGTCACTCTTGTGGACAATTCCTATACAGCCTGGGGGCAGTCCTGTCCACCCATTGGGAGTCAGAGCTCATCCTAGCCTCCATCCATCCATCTGTCCAATCAAGCAATCTCTCCTTTGTATATCCCATGCTTCAGCCAATCAAGTCATCTCTCATTTGCATATCCTCTGCAACTCACTAGTCCCACACACTCCTGTGAGGTAGGCCTTGTTAGCACCTCAGTTCAGAGAGCAATCGGAGGAGAAACGAGAGCCAGGGAGCTGGGCTCCGCCCGGGCATGGCGCGGGCATCGTGCGGGCTCCACACTCAAGAGCTTGACTTCCTAACAGTACCGTGAGCCGGCTGCTTCACCTCTGCGTGCCTCAGTTTCCTCATCTGTAAAGTAGTTCTTTATTCTACCTGCCTTAATGAGTGTGCTATGGATGGGGAGCAACGTTACTAACATGGGGGGCCCCCAGCCTGGTGTCCAGCACGCATGTGTTCTCTATGCTGTTTCCACCGACAGATGCAAGCCGAGCGTGTGTGTCTGCTTGCTTCCCGTCCTTGTGGCTGCCCAGCCCCGCTCTTACCTCGACCTGAAGCTGATACCGCTCCTGGGCTTTCCTGCTCAGGGCGCCGGTGGTCACCAGCCACCCATCTGGGGTCACTCGGAATGTGGAAGCCACGTTCCCCTGCATGATCCGGAAGGAGTAGGGCGGGCCATTCTCTGGGGAGTCCGGGTCACTCACGATCAGCTGTAAGACTTTACTTCCAACCGGGGAGTTCTCCTGACACAGGGGAGGAGGAGAAGCCAAGGGGGAGGGCTCTCAGCACTCTGTGCCAGGATGGGCCTGGACTACAGGCTGGCGCTCATTCACTCTGCCCATCTTTGAGTTGTTGCTTTTCAACTGGGACCAGCATTGGGTCTTAAAATCAAAACTCACTAGACCGGAGATCAAAGGTGAAATCCTTTCCTATAAGACAGGAGGGGTCTCTCTCAACCAAGACCCCACAGCTAAGGAGTTGTGAATAGAAATAATTGCGTAGGGCTGGGAAGGTGGCTCAGTGGTAGAGTGCTTGCCTCGCATGCATGAGGCTCTGGGTTCGATTCCTCAGCACCACATACACAGATAAAGCCAGAACTGGCACTGTGGCTCAAGTGGTAGAGCGCTCGCCTTGAGCTGAAGAGCTGAGGGACAGTGCCCAGGCCCAGAGTTTAAGCCCCATGACCAACAAAAAGAATAAAAATAAAAGAAAGAAAGAACTGAGTAGCTGGGAAGTTCTAATTGCCAGGATCAACTGAACACTTACAAATGGTCTCTTCTTCTAGAAGATCAAATGATGTGGTAGACATTGGATGGGCACATTCAGAAATAATTAAGAATTTAAGAAAAAAATAAAGGGGGGAGGGCGTACGCCCTAATTATCATTCTAGCCTATATTGTAAGAATTTAGTCTGATAAAACGCCACAGTGTTTATTAGCTGCTTCTTTGGAATCCCAACCTATGAACAGAACCTAGTAGTTGGCGGACACTGCTAATTGCCAACTGAACAGATATTATCTCGCTTTCTCAGAGTCGAGATACCTGAGCAAGAGAGTAAGAGTCAGAGCCCAGGCTTGAGTTCAAGCCCTACAATGGACAAAAAAAAAAAAAGCACATCCCCTTCTATTTGTCTTTGAAGATGATTGGTTGAGGATGTGATGGTAAACCTTTGGTAGCCACTTTGTGAACATGAGGGAGAAGGTGAAAGAATTTCAAAGAAGCTACCCAAAGCCATGATAGCATCTTCCTACTCAAACAACCAGTTCTGGAATGGAATTTTCCACCGTCCAACTTCTTGCTATATGAAATAATGAGCCTTTGTTACTTAATGAACTTTTCCTTAGGTAATCTGCTATTTGGAGCCAAAGCCTTCTAATACATATGCTAAACAAGTAAGAGTAGAGCCTGCCTAGAGATTGTACCCAGAACTTTGCCCTTTTACCTACCCTGGTCCTTACCTCCCTCGTGCTTACAGCCTTGATGGTTGGCCCTCTTAAGTCCTATTTACAAACCAAATTGTTTCAAATAAAGAGAACTTTTTGGATTTAAGCTTTTTTGGTTTGGTTTGGGTTTGTTGGTGCTGGGGCTTGAACTCAGGGCCCTGGTGACTGTCCCTGAGCTTCTTTTGCTCAAGGCTAGCACTCTACCACCTGAGCCACAGCTCCACTTCCGGCTTTTTCTGTGTCTGTGGTACTGAGGAATCGAACCCAGGGCTTCATGCATGCTAGGCGAGCACTCTACCACTAAGTCACACTCCCAGCCAATGCCTGATTATTTAAATCTACAGTCCCCTCTGGCTGGCTGTGTTACCCTTAGACATGACACTGGCAAGGTTATAGCCATTTGGGTGTTTCTTGTTTATGGTTTTTTTTTAATACTGTGTGTGTCTGTGTGTGTGTGTATGTCTCAGTACTGGGGCTTGAACTCAGGACCTAAGGGCTGCCTTTAACTCTTTTACTCAAGGCTAGCACTCTACCACTTGAGCCAACCCTTCATTTCTGTTTTTTTTGATGGTTCACTGGAGATAAGAGTCTCAGACTTCCCTGCAGAGGCTGACTTCAAATCGCGATCCTCAGATCTCAGCCTCCTGAGTAGCTAGGATGACAGGCGTGAGGCACTGGTGCCCGGCTAGCTGTTTCGGTGGACCTGCTGCTGGGAGGGGAAGGAGAGGAGGCAGGGCGCAGGCGCCATGGGTTGGTGAGCTCACCTGGACCGTGGTGCTGTAGTTGAGCTGGAAGAATCTTGGGGGATTGTCATTCACATCAGCCACGTGGATGTCCACCTCGACGTCTTCGTGCTGTGGGGGCTGCCCGCTGTCCGTGGCCCGGAGTCTCAGGGAGTAGCTGGACGTCTGTTACAAGAGGCTGCGGTAACAACTAGGTCCCTCACAGGATCTGCCCTTTGACCCACGGCTCAGGTTTCCAGAAAAGATCGAGGCCCCCCTCCCATTCCTGGGGTCCTCTTCCCCTCCCACCCATAGTACTGCTGAGCTTAGAGTCCATAACTCATACAGAAAGACCAGCTATGAGACCTGGGGGCTGGGACTAAGCCTATGTGAGAATCTCATCAACACCCAGTTCCCAGGGTTGTTATTATTATTACTATTATTATTGCCAGTCCTGGGGCTTGAACTCAGGGCCTGGACATTGTCCCTGAGCTTCTTTTGCTCAAGGCTAGCACTCTACCACCTGAGCCACAGCACCACTTCTGGCTTTTTCTGCTTATGTGGTACTGAGGAATCGAACCCAGAGCTTCACACGTGCTAGGCAAGCATGTTACCATTAAGCTACCTTCCCAGCCCTTCCCAGGATTATTTTGAGGATCAAATGCAATAATGTGTGCAATCATTTTCCCAAGTAACTGACAAGGATCCCAAAACACCCCCACCCCACCTTGCTCAATGGTAGGAATTACCAGGCACCAGTGGCTCACACCCGTCATCCTAGCTACTCGGGAGGCTGGGATCTGAGGATGGCAGTTCCAAGCCAACCTGAGAAGGAAAATCCGTGAAATTCTTTTGTTTTTGTCAGTCGTGAGGCTTGAACTCTGGGCCTGGGCACTGTCCCTCAGCTCTTCAGCTCAAGGCGAGCGCTCTACCACTTGAGCCACAGCACCTCTTCCAGTTTTCTGGTGGTTCATTGGAGATAAGAGTCTCATGGACTTTCCTGCCCAGGCTGGCTTTGAACTACAATCCTCAGATCTCAGCCTCCTAGGTAGCCAGGATGACAGGCGTGAGCTACCAGCACCCGCCTGCCCATGAAATTCTTTATAAAACTCCAATACATTCCCAATGTGACTCAAATAATAGAGCACCAAGCCATGAGCAAAAAGGCTAAACAACAAGGCAAAGGCTCTGAGTTCAAGTCCCAGTACCAGCATGCACACACACACACACACACACAGTGGAAAATGATCTGAATCCCTTGGAAGACAGTCCAGGAATCAGGGGAGGGTGTTGATCGCAACTTGCCCTCTGGCTCTGTTAAGATCCGCTTGGGCCCTTGTCACGTGACTCACCTGCTCCCAGTCCAGGGCTTTAGCCACCTGCAGCTCCCCCTTCTTGGGGTGGATGGTGAAGTGCTGGAGCTGATCCCCTCCTACGAGGCTATAGGTAATCGCACTGTTTAGGGGTCCGTCCTCATCGGTTGCTGACACCTGCATGGGGGAGGGAGAGGGGGGAGGAATTATAAATGAAAGCACAAGGAAGATCACAGAGGAATCACGAGCTGCCCCTAGCAGTGTCCCCAACAATGACCACTGGGCCAGCAGCCCCTGTACCACAGACATGGTATGGATGAAATCTATGGACTCCGGTGTGCCTTGCACTCTTTGGTTCATCCATTCATCCAATCCAGGGACAGGAGGTTGAGGGAGAAGTGTGCCCAAATGTGCATGTCTGAAGAAAATATAACATCTAGTTTTATGGGAGAGTCTAACGGGCGGGAGGGAGGGAGGAGTAAATTATTTGCCTCATGAGAGCATAGCAGTCGGTGATATATTCTACCACCTGCGGAGATTAGAAAAGGATTCAGGAAGTCTCAAAGAATGAGGAGGTCCAGGTGAGGTCATCCTAGCTCCTCAGGAGGCTGAGAGCTGAGGATCGCAGTCAGAGGCCAGCCTGGAGCAGGAAAGTCCGGGAGACTCTCCTCTCCAATGAAGCCACCCAAAGACTAGAAGTAGAGATGTGGCTCAAGTGGTAGAACACTAGTCTTGAGTAAATAAAAAATCAAGGGTCAGCCACCTAGACCCTAAGTTCAAGCTCTGTTACTAGCATTAAAAAAAAAACTAACAGAAAAAACAAGACGATGAGGGAGGGATCTAGGACAGAGAAACCACTTTAGGCAGAGGACACAATGCGAGAGACTACAGATGTGTGGTCGGAGCTTATGGTACTTGTTGGGAAATGGAAGGAGAGAAGTCCAGAAAGGGTGGGTCATGGAGAAGTGGAAGTTTGGGTGTGCATATTTAAATGCATGACTCTAGGCCACACACTATGATCGGCTCCTTCCTTCCCAGGCTCAGGCAGGCCTCTAGAGTCTAGCTCTTCCTCCATCTTCTCTCTAGCCCATTCTCTCCCAACCCAACCCTATCGAATGGCTCTGATAGCTTCTGTCAGGAGAGGTACCTTACCCCAGCAGCTACAATTTCCAGTCTCATGTGTAGTGCATTGATTTCTTTTTTCTTTTTTTCTTTTTATTGGTGAGCATGCCCTTGTTCTGGGGCTTGAACTCAGAGCCTGGACATCGTCCCTGATATTTTGTGCTCAAGGCTAGCACTCTACCTCTTGAGCCACAGGTCCACTTCCGACTTTTTGCTGGTTCATTGGAGATAAGAGTCTCATGGCCTTTCCTACATGAGCTGACTTTGAACCACGATCCTCAGATCTTAAGCCTCCTCAGTAGGTAGGATTATAAGCATGAGCCATGGTGCCCGGTTGTAGTATATTGATTTGATAAACACATCTATATTCCTGGATGACTGTGGAGTTGAGGAGAAAGAGCTGGGGACCCATCCCCTGTGCCCACATCTACCAAAAACAAAGCTGGGGATCCTTACTGTGAGGATGACGTTGCCCACGAAGGCGTTCTCTGGCACACTGGCACTGTAGCGCTCCTGGGAGAATCTGGGACGGTGCTCATTCACATCTGTGATGTTAACCACAATGGTGGCCACGTCACTGAGAGAGGAGGAGCCCTGGCGGCTGCACTCGATGGACAGGAAGTGCTTGGGGCTCGTCTCAAAGTCCAGGCTCTGGTTGACATACAGGATCCCTGAGAAGGAGAGGTGTGTGGAGGAACTGGGTGCCGGTGGCTCATACCCGTCATCCTAGCTACTCAGGAGGCCGGGATCTGAGGATCATGGTTCAAAGGCAGGTAAGTCCCTAAGAGTCTTATCTCCAATTAATCACATACACACAACACACACAGAGCCGGACGTGGTGCTATGGCTCAAGTGGTAGAATGCTAGTCATGAGCAATAAAGCTCTGGGACAGTACCTAGGCCCTGAGTTCAAGCGCCACAACCAGAAAGAAAGAAAAAGAATTATATGAATAAGAGAAGTCACAAGAAACATAGGGCAGAGGACAGAGTGGTGTGGGACCACCTTACAAAGCTCAGAAGGCTCAGGAGAGAAGCCCTTTCATTGACTCTCCTCATTGTCCTCTTTCTTTTTCTATTTTTTCTTTTTGGCTTGAACTCAGGGCCTGGGCACTGTCCCTGTGTTTCTTTTGCTCAAGGCTAGCACTCTACCACTTGAGCCACAGTGCCAGCTCTGGCTTTTTCTGTGTATGTGGTACTGTGAATGTCGAACCCAGGGCCTCATGCATGCTAGGCAAGCACTCTACCACTCGGCCACATTCCCAGCCCTCATCTCCCTCTTTCTTGTCCTCTCTTCTCCATCTCCTCCATTTTCCTTATTGTTCCTGAGAGTCACAAAGTTTCCCTAATTAATTGTGTGTGTGTGGTGTGTGTGTGTGTGTGCGCATGTGTGTGTGCATACCAGTACTGGGGCTTAAATTCAGGATCTGTCCCTGAGCTTTTGCACCCAAGTGCTCTAATGCTCACTTTGAGCCACAGCTCCACAAAACTCGGGTTTTCTGATGGTTCACTGCAGATGAACTTTTCCTGCCCCAGGCTGGCTTTGAACCCTGATCTTCAGATCTCAGCCTCTTGGTGTGAGCTGAGGGCGCCTGGCTACGGAGATACATTTCTCATTTTCTGGTGTCTTCACCATAATAAAGAGGAATCATGGGTGGCTCAGGCCCTGTCATCCTAGCTACTCAGGAGGCTGAGATCTGAGGATGGCAGTTCAAAGCCCAGGCCGAGCAGGAAAGGCCAGGAGACTCCGATCTCCAATCACCCATCAGAAAACCTGGAGTGGCGCGGTGGCTCAGGCAGTAGAGCGCCAACCTTGAGCTAAAGAGCACAGGGACAGTGCCCAGGCCCAGTGGGGTTCAGCCCCACGATGGAGGTGAGGATGGGGGTGGGGGTGGGGTCTAGGCCTGGGGATCAGGCCTTCCACGATGGGAGGGTGGTG